TGCAAACATGACTCCTCGTAAAAAAGGTTTCAGTTATGTTGCTCGATAAAAGGGTAAAAAACCAATTATCATTATAAAACATTTTTACAATTGAGAACCAAGGGGTTGCATTGCTGCAGTAAATGTTAAGAACCACTGGTCTAGGGACACAGAAAACCTCTGAAATTCAGAGACCCACAGAGAGGCTTGCAGCTACCTCGCGACTCAACGGACATACATGAAAGACGACCCACTGCAATGATGGCCATGCAACTGAAACGAGCGAACGAACCACGCAGTGAAGCCGATGTCGCCTGCGCTGTTCCTTCAGACGAGGAGCAGCAACACGACAGGAAGTCCCTGCCCTGAAGCCCTCTCGTCGTCGTCGGCAACAGACGTCGACATTGGACATTTTAGCTCGTCAACTGCTGCCATCTTACGCAGTCGCGTAGTGGATACGGGCGATCCCCGGGTTACGGGAGATGCTACTTACGGAAGGCTCGACTTACGGGAGACCCGACTTTGTGGAAATTCTCCCGTAATTCGTGGGGGTTAAAACATTTTTAAAATTCCAATACGCGGAAATGTTTGCGTTAGTTACGTAAGCGCAAATAGTGCGGCGCGGTCAGGTTGGGGGTGGATTCCGCGGAGCGAGCGCTAAGGTGGGCAAGCCGCCTTATACCTCTTTCGCTGAGCCTCACGAGGATTCAGGTAAGATAGAATATAAAATAGAATTGTTAGTAACGTTACGTAGTTCCATTTTTCCTTTTGTCGCATTACGTAATTGTTTAGAGGAGAATAAAAAAAACAAGAATAGCTTTTTACAACTTATGCCAATAAAACAGGGGTTGTGTTTAGATGTTAAAACACAAAAATCATAGATTAAACCTTTTTGCAAGGAATCAAGTCGCTGCCGTTAACCACGTGCGGCACGTGTGGTGAACATTCCAAACAACAACAACATGGCTCTGATAACATTTGATGCATTGTCTTTGAAACTGATTGGTCTACACCGGAGTTGGAGACGCTGCTGCGAAACCTGGAGCGTGCCACCAAGAGGTTTACCATTAGCCCCACCAAAAACACATTCCTGCGGAGGGAGCTGGTAGGAACGTTGGGTTGCTCGGTCAATGACCAGGGTCAACGGCGGCGTGGTGTATTCCGCAAATATGGCCGACTGTGAGGGCGGGCACAAGCCGGCGTGAGTAGGTTAACCACGGGGTGACCAGCCCCTCCCCACCCAGCCCCACCCAGCCCCACCCCTCCCACCCCCACCCAGCCCCATCCTCCCCACCCAACCCCTCCCCACCTAGCCCCTCCCCACCCTCCCCTCTCCACCCAGCCCCACCCCTCCCATTTTTGGATGCACGACGGACGGACGGACACAATAATCCCATGTGGGCTGGTGTAACCAGCAGGTTCCTACCAGTACTAAGCACCTGCCTGGATATTTTGTACCATCCGACACTCCGCCCCCACAACTCCAAATTGGTGATGGGGCAGTTGTGGAGAGTTTCCCATACCTGGGCAGTGTGCTCATGGCCGGCTCTGGTTTAACAGCAGAGGTCTCACTCCGAATCAGTCGAGCGGCACTATCTTTTCGTTGGTTGCGTAACGCTGTGTGGAAGCTACCTGGTCTGTCGCTCCGCAAGAAGTTTCGGGTCTCCTCGGCCACGGTCATTCCCTTCCTTCTCTACGCTTGCGAAACGTGCACCCCCGTAATGGAACATCTCCGCCGGTTAGACACATTTAGGCTGGCCTGCCTACGATCAATCCTGGGTTTAACCCGGCTGGATTGTGTGAGGAGCTCACAAACTCTCGAAAGATCTGGACAAAGTCCCATCGTGATACACAGAGAGAGACACAGAGAGACAGAGAGAGACACAGAGAGAGACACACATAGTGACACACAGAGACTCAGAGAGACGACAACCGCCATTCGCCACTAAGTGCTGGTGACGTCACCACGGCGCTTGTGCCAGGCTATGTGCACCTTAAGGCCACGTGAAGTGTCGAACGCCCGCTGACATGAGGTCACAGGACAGACCCCGGTGCTATGGGTTGACTGACAGCGGAGACACAAAGAGATACACAGGGACACAGAGGCACACAGAGACACCGAGAGAGGCCGTGGACTCGTGCGTTCGCGAAAACCGTGGCTTTTCCCGGCACTCACAATTTAACAAACAAACAAAAACTAAAACAAACAAAAGAGTGGAATTTTTAAATTCACGTGTTGGCGAGTTACGTCCCAAAAACGCATCGATTTGGTGGTGGTGGTGATGACGACGATGACGATGATTATGATGACGACTGTGGACAATTGAGAGAGACGTTGATTTTGTAATGTTTTGGTAACGCTTTGATAACGTTTTCCCCGCCCAAAAAGCAAAAGAGACGCTGAGCCAGCACTTTGAAAACAGGGTGGCGAGGGGCTCCACAACAACAACCAAAACAATTACCCGCGGGCGAAAGACCGGGGGAAGCTCATTCGTGCGCACGAGTCACGATGGTGGTGGTGGTCAGACTCTGTTGGTGGTGGTGGTCAGACTCTGTTGGTGGTGGTGGTCACACTGTTGGTGGTGGTGGTCAGACTATGTTGGTGGTGGTGGTCAGACTGTTGGTGGTGGTGGTCAGACTCTGGTGGTGGTGGTGGTCAGACTCTGTTGGTGATGGTGGTCAGACTCTGTTGGTGATGGTGGTCACACTCAATGGGCACGCTTTGTTGAGCGTGACAAACCTCACTAATTGGCTGTGTCGGGTGGTGGCGGGTTTAACGACACATTTGTATTTACGCGATCTAACCCTCCCCGAATAAACCCCTCTATTAATATTGGTCGCGAAAGTCTAACTACTACTACGTCATGGGACGACCTCCTTGGCCAGTACCAAAATATACTTGTTGCCAGAAAAAAGGGGAAAACCCCTATTAGTATATTTTGGTACTGGCAAAGGAGGTCCCATGATATAGCTGCTCACCCCGAGCTCTCATTACTCTGGTAGTGCGTTGTCTTGGAACTGTGCGCCTTTTGGCGTCATCTGGTCGAACACCATATGAGACGAGGCTCTAAAGAAAGCTGTCTCTGGTGTGGACCAATCAGTTTCAAAGACAATGCATACATGATCAGAGTATTGTTTTTTGTTTGCATTTGACTGCAAGTATTGTGGTTAATGTAAACATGATTCCTTGCAAAAGGTGTCAGTTTTGTTGCCAGAAAAAAGGGGGAAACCCCTATTAGTACTACAACGTGTTAAACTCTCTTTATTTATCTCTGTTGCTCTCAGCACCCCCCCCCCCCATCACCCCCTACCCCGTGTGCTTATCCGCCACCTGCTGCTGTTGGGGTTTTTTTTGTAAGAACGCAAATAAAAATTCGAGTTACCCGCCTACAGATCGATTCTTTTCGCGTTGCTCCGTGGATTGAAACCGCCCTTGCCTTGACTTGGCTACCTGCGGTCCTCGATGGGGGGCGCCACGGCGGCTAGGAGACGTTAACTACCTCGCTTGGTACGCAGGAGGTCGTGGGTACGATCCCGACCCTGACGCCTGCTGTGTACGTGCAGTGTGCGTGTCTCTCTCCTCGTTGTCGCGTGGATTTTTCTCCGGGTTCCTCCGGGTTTTCCCTCCACATTTAGGATTCGAGTATTGGGCTTGCTAGAAGTTTCCACGTCACAAGCCACTTCGTTGAGCTGCCATTTGTGGCCAGGTCGCTTCTGAAAAAGAGCAATATAGCTCAGTGGGCCTTACCTGGTCAAAATATATAGTTTTATATAGGATTAGCTTTACTAGCCGGCTTCGCCCGAGACTTGGATTTTTGTCTTGGATTAATACACGGCCTACGCGGAGGGTGGGGGTGACGGGGACACACTTCGTGACGCTGCCGCATGCGGGTGACATCACAGATGTGACATCACAGATGTGATGTCACCGCTCACTTGCCGTGCAAAATATATCCATTATTGCCCCCCCCCCGCCCATTTTGTACAGTCTGGAAGCTACCCTCGTGCCAAATTTCAAGTTTGTTGCATGTTGCGAAGTATGCTAAACATTTTGAACATACACATATTCACAAATTTCCCTTTTATATATATAGAAGTTGGTTAGAGAGATGTGGTGCGTGATGATGGTGATTGGTGAGTGAGGATGAAGATGATGGATCGTGTTGGGTGATGATGGTGATTGGTGATTGATGGGTAGTACTGTAATGGGTGATGATATAATGTGATGATGGAGAGAAATGGGTGATGGTGTGGTACAGTGTGATGGTGGTACAGTGTGATGGTGGGTCGGGGATCTTTGAGATGGTGGGGCTGGAGTTGAAGGAGGGTGCAGTGGATGGGAGTAATGGTGGGGGTGGTGGTGGGAGTAGTGATGGGGGTGATTGGGAGTGATGGTGGGGGTGGAGGTGATGGTGGGGGTGGGAGTGATGGTGGGGGTGGTGGTGATGGTGGTAGTGATGGTTGGGGTGGTGGAAGTGATGGTGGGGGTGGTGGTGGTGGGGGTGGTGGGAGTAGTGGTGGGGGTGGTGGGAGTAGTGATGGGTGTGGTGGTGGGAGTGATGGTGGGAGTGACGCTACTGAGCAATTGAAGGCAGTCGCCCTCCAGCAACAACGGAGGGCAGAGGAGCGACGCTCACAACAACGAGCAGAGCGCCGGGCGGATAAGATGCAGCAAGTTGGCACAGTAGGGGGTACAGCTGGCGTATCTCCCAGTCGTCTCAGTCAGCCAACCCATGGCACCTGCTGGGTCTGTCCCGAAAGTGCACCTAGCCTGGCACAGGCGCTGTTGTGACGTCATCGTCACTAAGTGGCGAATGGCGGGTTTCGGTATTGGTGATGGTGGGGGTTGATGGTGGTGGGATTGAGGTGGTGGGAGTGATCGTGGGAGTGGTGATGGTGGGGGCAGTGGTAGGAGTGGTGGCGGTTTGGGTTTGTAGTTGGGTGGTGGTGGTGGTGGGGAGTTGTGGGGGCGTAGGTGACGAGGGTGGTGAGGGTGGGGGGAAAGGTGTTGCACCGGGTAGGAGAACACCTGGCACAGAAACGTCCGTACACAGCTGAGGAGGGTTTTACAACAACAAAAAAGGTGAGCCCATCATCTTTACCATCACCTGTCGTCTTTAGAATCATCAATCCAAGTTTGTCTGAAGTGTTTTCTTCCTTTAAATCAGGTAAGTGTATTTGTTTTGTTTCAATCTTTGTTGAGTTTATGGATACATGCAGCATTGTATTTTTGGTGCTTTCGTGGTTAAAGTGTCCCTTGTTTGCCCAGCAAAGCCGTGATGAGTTGATTAGCAAGGCACCGGAGCTATATGCTGCGCTTTCAAATCATCTCGGATTTAAAACTAACTTCTCTCGAACCGCCTTTTGTGTTCAGTTTTGTTGTCCCTGTATCACGGCTGGCGACGTGCGGTGCGAAAGAAGTTCAACATGCGTTCGTGCAAGACTCGTTTTGTTTTAAGGAGAGCGCTTCTTCCATCGAGATGTTCGGTCCAAGTCCCTTTAACAAAAAACATGAGAACGAGTGGTTGTGTTTCGTGTGGGAGGACACGAGAGAGCCCCGAGTAAACTCAAAAGCAAAGAGAAATATCCCCCGTATAGCCTTAACAGACTATAGGGGAAAGTGCTGTTAGCGAGCACCTATGACGGCTGGCAACTGTGGCACACAAGCGGGTGAGTGGCCAGCACCACGCCCGGCCGCATTTGTCTCCGGGGTGGCGATGTTCACTACACACCGCACCAGGTACTCATTTGAGGCTGAGTCGACCTAGAGGAGGCCCACGAATCGGCTCAGATAAGCGTCACCGGTGTTTGAACCCAGGTCGCCAGGTTCGTAGCGCAGCGCGCTCACCGCTACCCGACCGCTCCCCACTCATAGCACGTACACACGTACACATGTGCACACGTACACACGTGCACACGTGCACACGTACACACGTGCACACGTACACACGTGCACACGTGCACACGTACACACGTGCACACGTACACACGTGCACATGTGCACACGTGTACACGTACACACGTGCACACGTACACACGTGCACACGTACACATGTGCACACGTACACACGTACACACGTGCACACGTACACACGTACACACGTGCACACGTGTACACGGACACCACTGCAGAGGGGGGGGGGTCACAAATCCCACTTTCTGTACTGCATTGCGAACGTTTTCAACACAACATGTGCGGTTGGCAGGAGATTCACGGATTGTTGCAGCCACCTGTAAGGCGCTCTGCGATATCTCGTTACGCGTCGTGGTGGCGTTTCTCCGCTTTTCGATTTTTTTTCCGACGATCAGGTCACGCAACTCAAAACAAAAAAACTCCCCGCCCGCCACCGCTTCGACGATCCAACGTCTCAAAGTGGCCGGAAACCCTCCACGGAAAACGAGGCTCGGCGAGGCTTTTCCTGGGTGTAATGTAGGAACGTTCCATGTGGCTCAAGGCCGTAGACATGGAGTCAACATTTGGGGGGGACCAAATCTTTCAGGGTGTCTGGGGTCCCCCCCCCCCCCCCCAGAAAAAAAAAATCTAAATTTGAAAACGAATTTCCTGCGTAAAATATAAAAAATTCACTAACACATGGGATGGACCTTTTATTTATTTATTACAACAATGTCTAATAATGTATTACAGTACATTGCTCTGTTTTTTCTTTTTTCCTTTTGTGTTTCATTGTATGTAATGGCAGAGATTAGGGATTAATAAAGTACAACCATAACCACAATCATATCAACATGAATCTATTTATAGCAATATATTGGGGGGGATATTTTGAGCATATTTGAATATTTATTGGGGGGGTGTCCCCCCCAATACATATTCTAATTACGGCCTTGCTGTGGCTGTTAGGACGTCGCCCTGGGTTTCTCGTTGGCGCTCCCTGAAAAAGGGGAATCCCACGTGTCGCGGCACCCCCCGAAGAAAAGCCGGCGAGACGCGGCGAGGCTTCCCTGGGGGTACAAATAGGAAGCCATGTAGAGCGGTGGCCTGAGCACCTCGTCACGCTTGAGGGAGACTCGCTTCATTTGGCGGCGGGGTGGCCACGGGTGTGGCAACGCTTGTGCCTCACGGCAAGAAGCGCCCAGGTTCGATTCCCGACTGGGGGCACCTTTCTGCGTGGAGTGTGAAACGTTCTCCCCCATTCTCAGCGTGGGTTTTCCTCCGGCGTCTCCAGTTTGCTCCCCCCCCCCCCCCCGTAAACAATTAATTGAAGACTCCGTGAGGCCTTCCTACGTGTTAAACAAGCAGAAAACAATGCCCCCCCCCCCCAGTGAGCTACTACTGAAGACTCGAACCCAGGCTTTCGGAGGTGCGAGCTCAGTATCTCTTCGAACGCGGCCAACCTCCTTTTTTGAAACTTCATTCCGATATCCGCTCCGGTCTTTTATGTTGTTGCAGGTTCTCCTGACCAGCACCGCTGCTTAGCAGTAACACCCCCCCCCCTCGCCCCAATGCCTCTGCGATCGAGCACGCGGGGCCGTGGGCCTCCAAGTTGTGACCCCGTGCCCCCAGACCAATTCGAGGCCCTCTGCTCAAGTGACGGCAGCGAGGACCTGAGACCGGCGATGAAGAGGAGGAGGAGGCGGAGGAAGAGGAGACCGGCAATGGCGGCGGTGGCGACGGACACAGAACCGGTGGTGAAACGGCCACAGCGTCGTGGCGGAGACGGGGTCGGGGATGAGCCGCCGGCCGTGGGGTCACGGTCACGATCGGGGTCACCGTCGGGCTCAGGCTCGGGGGACTCCGCCTCGCGAGGAGACGCCAGAGACGAGAGGACGCTGAGGCGGCTGGAGAGCAACGAGAGGGAGCGCCAGAGGATGCACGGCCTCAACGACGCCTTCCAGGGCCTGCGCGAGGCCATCCCGCACGTCCGCCGCGGACGCAAGCTGTCCAAGTTGGAGACCCTGACCCTGGCGAAGAACTACATCGAGGCGCTCACCGGGGTGATCGGGCATCTGGCCGACGGGGAGCGAAGGTTGGAGCAGCTCGTGCAGCAGCAGCAGCAGCAGGACCAGCAGGAGGAGCAGGAGGAGCAGCGAGGTGCAGAGGGAGACCCCGTGACGAGCGTCCCCGTGAGAGGAGTCCCAGTTAACGGGTTTCCAGTGAATGGGGTCTCGGGGAGAGGAATCCCGGTGAGAGAGGTCCCAGTTTCTGGCCATTTTCGTCGCAAACAGCAGCGGCGCTCGTGCGTCGGGAAGTAGGGCCCAGGGGTCACGGTGGCTCTCTACGTGTGGGCAAGGAGATGGAGGGGCCTTGTCTTGGTCATCTTCAGCATCTATATCGTCGTCGTCATCGTCTTACTCTTGGAGATGGTGAAATGTGCGCCATGCAGCGAGGTTACAAACCCTGGTGGTGGAGAGGTTGGGGGGGAGAAATTGAACAGTGAGTTGCACTCCTGCGGATAGACTGGTCCCCGTCATAGCAACGTGAAAGTTTCACTGTTCGATTAGTCTAAGCTCATTTTAGCGCGGAAACACTGACTTGGGTGTATGCTGCATATATCGATAATGATCAAAGTAGGGGTTCAAAAATTTAATAGGCTTTAACCTTTCCAGCAATCATATAGGTATTAAGATGGTCAAAATGGTCCCATAGGTAAAGTAGGGGTTACCAGTGTGGTGTGTCTGTGTGACAACTGGGCTTACACTGCGTAGGGTACGCAGCCTGGAGGTTCCGAATAGAATGGGTGAGGAAGGCGTTGTGGATGTAATCAGGAAGAGGAGGTTGTTATAGGCGTAACGTGTAGAGTGGAAGAGGACACGGGAAGCAACTTGGAGGTTCTGCATAGAGGAGGGCAGGTGACCGAGAAAGCCATTGGAGTGGCACCCAGGGGTCGGTGACCACCGGGAAGGCCTAGAGGAGCCATGTGATGGTGGCGAAGTTGAGTTTGAGCGCTCCTTACAGGACCTGTCAACCCTCTTACAAACGCGAAGAGACGAAATGAGAGCATTGTTGTGTCGATGATTATGGCAGTGTGAGAGCGGTGCTTGCTGATCCGCCCTCTCTGGACATCTGTGAAAGAGAACTTCATAGCCGGTTCCTCCAGGACGAATACATCGCCTGCTTCTGTGTCGCCTGCGGAAGAAGAGGGCCACTCTGAGGCGTGCGGTGACGACGACGTCGAGATCGTGACCGGTCCTTGAGGGACGTGTCCCGTGTACAACAAAGAGGAAGACCTCAAGCCAGGCCGTGGTGGCGACGAGACTCGGGTCAACCGTGGGGGGAAGGTCGATGGTCGACATTACGACACCGGAAGGATCTGGCAGAAAGAAGGAAGCGATGGCGACGTTGGATGGTATGCAGGGTCGCTTTGACCTGGACTTTCGGTCCTGTGACCCGCGTGTATATTAGGTGAACTGAAGTGAAATTTGTTTGAATTTTGTGTAAAATTTCACGTTGCTGCATCTCAGACGAGAGACGCAAAATGGCGGGTTCTGAATCTTACGAGGAGTGATGTTGCCGATGACAGCGTTCAATTACGAATGTTTATTAATGATGGAGACCATGCGAATGAGAATGATCGTGGTGATTTGGAGTTTGGTTTTTATGTGAAATAACATAATAAAGAACACACACTTGATGATGAAAGATATTGACTACTGGTCATGGTTATTGATGAAGACCATGCTATTAATGATGATGTGTATTAGAGACCGATGCTACACTGCCGATTAAGCAGTAAAGGGGTCAAAATGAGTATATTGGTTCAAATTACCAAATGTGTTGGTGTTTATTTATTAATTACAGCTCTGGTTCACTGGAGGAAAATCCACATTCCTATGGCAGATGGGCGAGTGTATCCATAAGACAAACCAACTGTTGACTTCCCCACAAAGTGTTACGCATTGTATCGACCCCCCTGATGGAGAGATGATTGATTGAGCCAACACACACGCCCAAATTAGGATTTCAACGCTACTCAAACCTCCGATTGTGAGCTACTCACTCTACCGTCGAGTCGCGTGGCCGGTAAAATTAATGTTCTTCTGTATTGATGATCGATGACCGAAGATGAATTATATTTCAGCAATAATCATGTGTGTGATTGCAGTGCAGCAAGTATGTGTGATAGCGCTCCTTCCCCTCACCCCCCACAACACCGTAACTTTGAGCGGTTTATTTTAGTTTGTCATCTGCCACAGTTCACATCGTGACGCTGGAGGGTTTTTTGTTGTTGTAATCATTAACCCGGTTATGGAGCCACCCAGCTACTGGGTTTACCCTCCACAGTTTAGAAACATGCGTTTAAAGAGTAATTAGGCTGCTGTAAATGTCCCCGTGATAAGCCACTTCGTTCAACTATAATTTGTGGCCAAGGTCGCTTCTGGAAAACTGAACTATTTTATCTTCTTGGTTATTTCGGTAAAGTCACGTAGAAGGGGAAAAAAAAACCTGAGGACGGCTGCTTGCGTTGTGGCCGAAACGTCGTGAGAATTATTTTATTATGTTTTATTTTTCTTATTTTATTATTTCCCTTGTACGTGACTTTATCGAAAGAACCAAGAACATGAATCCCTGCAGTCACGAAAGCTTCAAATCGAAATTGAACTATTTTAATTTGGCCAGGTAAGGGCCCACTGAGCTATGTAGCTCTTTTTCAGAAGCGACCCGGTCATCACAAATGAAAGCTCTAACAAGTGGCTTTATTGCAGCCAAATACTCTAAATGCGGAGGGAAAACCCGGAGAAAAATCCACGCGACCACGGGGAGAGAGAGGGAGACACGCCGCAAACTCCACACATACACAGCAGCAGGCGTCAGGGTCGGGATCGAACCACGACATCCTGCAAACCAGGCGAGGTTGTTAACATCTCGCCACCGTGGCGCCCAGTCTTTTGGGGCCGTCCATAAATGACGTCATGCACCTAGGTGGGTGGGGGGGGGTCAGAAATTTGTGACTATGTGTGACGAGGGGGGGGGGGGGTGAGAAATGTGACGTCACATCAAAATGCACAACTTTAAATAAATATAGACAACACGTTCTACTTAATTAAATTGACTTTTTAATTAATGTTTTCTCCTACAACATCAGAGTGCAGCGACACATTAAATACGCTCTACAATGACAATAATTTGAAGCATGTTTTATTTTTTTTTGAGGGGGGGGGGGGCAGAGCTTTGTGACGTCATATTTGAGGGGGGGGGGGTCTGACTTTTTGTGACGCCGTGTGACGATGGGGGGGGGGGGGTCAAACATCGTCCAAAATCGCGTGACGTCATTTATGGACGGCCCCTTTCTCCCTTGTGATGTAGGATGAACGTTGAGACTTACAAGGGGCACGGGGTGACCAATAAGGTCTGAATTGGTCCGTAATAAGGTCGGGCACTGATAAGGGGTTGACGGGTTTGCAATTATCGATCCACTGCTGGATGAAGGCTCCTGTAAACGGACCTCACTCCCGCTCCTTGCGCGCACACACGGATCATTGATAAATAACGATCGATTCCATCTATCAATCCACCGTCGGATTAGCGTCATCAATCGATTATTTTGTCCAGCGGTGACGTCATTCGATTAACGCGTTGAATAACGTAACGGGATGGGGGGAATCGATTCTCGCGGTCTGTTCAGGGCACGGAATCGATCCACAACCCCCCGTACAGTCGGAGCGCGCGCGCCGCTGCGTTTAATTAGCAACGGACCACGTGACCCCGGCGTCATGTGACTGCGGTGACGTCATCCCGGAATGGGGGAGGGGTGAGTGGGGGGGGATGGATGAGTGAGGGGGAGGGCGGAGGGGTGAGTGGGGGGGAGGAGAGGGTTGGGGTGAGTGGGGGGGAGAAGGGGTGAGTAGGGGGGAGGAGGGGGTGGGTGTGGGGAGGAGGGGGTGGGTGGGGGGAGGAGGGGTGGGTGGGGGGAGGAGGGGGTGGGTGGGGGAAGTGAGTGGGGGAGGAGGGGGTGGGTGGGGGGAGGAGGGGGTGGGTGGGGGAAGTGAGTGGGGGAGGAGGGGGTGGGTGGGGGGAGGAGGGGGTGGGTGGGGGGAGGAGGGGGTGGGTGGGGGGAGGAGGGGGTGGGTGGGGGGAGGAGGGGTGGGTGGGGGGAGGAGGGGGTGGGTGGGGGGAGGAGGGGTGGGTGGGGGAAGTGAGTGGGGGAGGAGGGGGTGGGTGGGGGGAGGAAGGGGTGGGTGGGGGGAGGAGTGGTGGGTGGGGGGAGGAGGGGTGGGTGGGGGAAGTGAGTGGGGGAGGAGGGGGTGGGTGGGGGGAGGAGGGGGTGGGTGGGGGGAGGAGGGGTGGGTGGGGGGAGGAGGGGTGGGTGGGGGAAGTGAGTGGGGGAGGAGGGGTGGGTGGGGGGAGGAGGGGGTGGGTGGGGGGAGGAGGGGTGGGTGGGGGAAGTGAGTGGGGGAGGAGGGGGTGGGTGGGGGGAGGAGGGGTGGGTGGGGGGAGGAGTGGTGGGTGGGGGGAGGAGGGGTGGGTGGGGGAAGTGAGTGGGGGAGGAGGGGGTGGGTGGGGGGAGGAGGGGGTGGGTGGGGGGAGGAGGGGTGGGTGGGGGGAGGAGGGGTGGGTGGGGGAAGTGAGTGGGGGAGGAGGGGGTGGGTGGGGGGAGGAGGGGGTGGGTGGGGGGAGGAGGGGTGGGTGGGGGGAGGAGGGGTGGGTGGGGGAAGTGAGTGGGGGAGGAGGGGGTGGGTGGGGGGAGGAGGGGGTGGGTGGGGGGAGGAGGGGTGGGTGGGAGAAGTGAGTTGGGGAGTAGGGGGGAGGGGTGAGTAGGGGGGAGGGGTGAGTAGGGGGAGGGGTGAGTAGGGGGAGGGGTGAGTAGGGGGAGGGGTGAGTAGGGGGAGGGGTGAATAGGGGGGAGGGGTGAGTATGGGGGGTGAGTAGGGGGGAGGGGTGAGTATGGGGAGGGGTGAGTAGGGGGAGGGGAGAGTAGGGGGGAGGGGGTGAGTATGGGGGAGGGGTGAGTAGGGGGGGGAGGGGTGAGTAGGGGGAGGGGAGAGTAGGGGGGAGGGGTGAGTAGGGGGAGGGGTGAGTAGGGGGAGGGGTGAGTAGGGGGAGGGGTGAGTATGGGGGAGGGGTGAGTAGGGGGGAGGGGTGAGTAGGGGGAGGGGGAGAGTAGGGGGGAGGGGTGAGTAGGGGGAGGGGTGAGTAGGGGGAGGGGAGAGTAGGGGGAGGGGTGAGTATGGGGGAGGGGTGAGTAGGGGGGAGGGGTGAGTAGGGGGAGGGGTGAGTAGGGGGTGGGGGCTCATTGTTGACATCAAAGCCGTGGGGCGGCTACCAGCTACGGGAGCTGCTGTTGCTGCTTGTGGTGGTGGTGGTGCTGGTGGTGGTGCTGGTTGTGGTGGTGGTGCTGCTCAATCTCTCTCCGCTGCTGGCTTGCCGCTATCCTCCTGGTCCCGGCGACAGCGCTGTGATACAGCCGGCACAGCAGACACACACACACACACTCTGCTGCCGTGGCCTACGACAACACTCGGGCTCGCTAAGAGAGAGGTACGTTGTGACTGTCTGTGTGCCTGGCTTGGGGCTACGGCTGGGACAGCAACCCTGGATGTTTGTCAAGGCGACAGCTGTTGCTGTTGTAGCTGTTGTTGTTGTAGCTGTTGTTGTTGTAGCTGTTGCTCCAGCGGGGCTATTGTGGCGACACGGATCTCCAGCAGGCCTAGAGAATCACTGCCGCCGCCGCTGTTGTTGTTATTGTTGCTCTGGGCTACAGCTGCTGGTGTTTGGTAACGGTAACTTATCATCGGGCTGGACTACAGATGATAATCTTGGTGATGGTAACTTGGTAATGGTAACTTATCATCGGGCTGGGCTACAGATGATAATATTGGTAATGGTAACTTATCATCGCCTGGGCTACAGATGATAGTGTTGGTGATGGTAACTTAACATCGGGCTGGGCTACAGATGATACTCTTGGTGATGGTAACTTAACATCGGGCTGGGCTACAGAAGATAATCTTGGTGATAGTAACTTAACATCGGGCTGGGCTACAGAAGATAATCTTGGTGATGGTAACTTAACATCGGGCTGGGCTCCAGTCCGATGATAGCAATTCTTTGAACCGGTCCTGGGCCTCCCCTAGGTCGACTCAGCCTCAAATGAGTACCACGGTGTAGCGGTGTGTAGTAAACATCGCCACTGGGGGAGACAAAGGCGGCCGGGCGTGGTTTCTGCCCACCCCCCCCCCTCTGTGTGTGCCACAGTGCCGGTGGCCTTCATAGGTGCTTCTCGCTATAACAGCACTTGCCCCAACCAGTCTGTGCAGGCTACACGGGGGATCTTTGTCTTTGTAGCCGGTATCACGACTTCAGCTTCTGCTTAATTGCTCGAGATTGGAGCTGGGTACAAGCTGATCGTGGCCCACACTTGACTTGTATTATTACACACTTTCATTTCACTGTCTGTTGTTGTCGTTGTTGTTGTATCCTCAAATCTTGTAACTCAATTTTGACACACTTCCCAATGTGCTATCGACTGCAAACTCGGTATAGCTATGTCATACCGATGACAACACGATATTCTATCATAAAAAAATCCATAATATAAAATTAAAAACTTTTTACACGCTTTTATTTAACTTACTGTATGTGTTGTCGTATCCAAACATCGTGTAACTCAATTTCAACCGTATTCCCAATGTCGTACCGACTGCAAACTTCGTATAGGTGTGTCATACTGATGACAATACTATATTCTATCATTTGAAAAATTAATTAAACAATCTTTTTAACGGCTCTAATAGTCCACGCTCAACTGACGTTGCCTGTAAATCACCACGTGGTCCCTGACGTCACGGCAAGCCTCGGGGAGCCACGCCCAGGGGCGGGGCATGTGGAAGGAGGGGAGGGGCGATAGGGGGAAGGGGGCAGGGCAGCTCGGACAGTACATTTCATTAAAGCGTGTTTTTAAAAGTATTTTTAAATATTTTATTATTACCCGCTTTCATTTAACTCACTCTGTTGTTGTATCATCAAATCTTGTAACTCAATTTTAACGCACTTCCCAATGTGGTATCGACTGCAAACTTGATATACTTATGTCATACTGGTGACAATACTATATTCTATCATTAAAAATTGGTATTTTTAAACATGATTTTTTACATGTTATGTTTCGGCTTGAGTCTAATTGTCCACGGTCAACTGACGTTGGCTGTAATTGTCCATGGTCCCTTCCTGGAGTCGTGGAGTTCTTCCATTACTAGTACATTTAATAAAAGCCTGTTTTTAAAGGCGTTTTTGTAAATATTACTTTTTTTTAAAGGCGTTTTGCTCTCCCAAGTCTGAAGGAGGCAGGAGAACGCCGTCGCTGTGGGATCGCGTCCAATATTAATGTTGTATCGTTAAACCCGCCACCACCCGACACAGACAGTCAGCAAGGTTTGTCACGTCAACAGAACGGGTGTCAATTCGTTACTGCAGAGCGTAAACAACCCCCCAGCTCTCCAACACACCGGTGTGCTGAACTAGTAACGAATTGGCACGTTCTGTTTACTTGAACACTACAAATTGGCTGTGTCGGGTGGTGGCGGGTTTAACGACACAACGTTGATATTTACGCTCCACCTCCTTTGGATAATATTGGTCGCGAAAGCCCAGCTACTCACGACTACGCGTTACACTGATGGGCGTTGTTTTGTAAAGTCGTCTTGAGTTTGGTTTCAACTCATCTGAGTTGTGTGTTGCCGCCCCGGTGCACAGAAGCGTCGCCTCAAAACGAACAACAACATCATCATCATCATCTACGACGACGGTCGTCGCTGCTGGGGACAAGCGGATTGATTGAAGGTTGTGCAAGGAAGCAAGGAGAGAGACCGTCTTCTGCGGCACTTGATTCACAGCAGCAGCAGCATCGCCGTCGTGGCGTTAGCGAGGGGTGCGTTTCATCATCAGCAGCGCCACTGTGCCCACCACCACCACCGCCGTCTTCGTGGCGCGCGTGGGGAACCACGGAGGCGATTTACAACGTCGAGGAACTGTTTAACAAAAAAAGGGCCGCCTCAACATCAACAAATACCAACGTGCGAAAACTACACAACGACAAAAAAAACATCAACAGCCGAAAGTCAACAACAACAACAACTGCTAACTACATCATCAACACCGTCCGCAATAAACCAGCAGCAACAAGAACAACAACAGTCGACGACGACTTCTACACAAACTGCAAGAACTTCATTATCAACAAGAAGATCGACTACACCATCGTCACCACCACCACCACCATCGTCATCAAACTGCATAGACTTTAACCCGAGTGCCGTGGTATACATTGTAAACACACAAGGACGAGTTGTCAACCTCACGGCACCACCAGCGTCGTTTGGCGAGTTGCTCCTCGCGTCGTGAAGGAAGGCGGCCGGGAGGGAGCGAGCAATGGAGAGCTCGAAGCCACTGCTGGATGAAAGACCCCCTCCCTACACGCCTGGTCCCGTGGGAGAAAGGGGGGGACCCCCACCACCGCCAGGCTACCACCCCGGTGGTGGTGGTGGTGGCGGCTATGGCACCATGCAGCCCGCACCACAACAGTACCAACCCCGAGGCCACCCCTACCAACAACAACAGCAACATCAGCAGCAACATCAACCGCAGTTCCAGCAGCAGTATCAACCGCAGCACCATGCAGGTGAGCGATGGAGAGGGGAAGAAGACGAGTGGGGTGTGTGGCCACTGCCATACATTGCCACGTGACGCTCAGCCAACTTCGTTGAGCTGACCGTTTGTGGCCAGGTCGCTTCTGATAAAGAGCCATGCGGCTCAGTGGGGGGCGGCCTAACCTCGAAAAGAATATATACAACAAATAGCAGTGTTGGAGCGTGCTGTCGGCAAATCCACTGCTGGATGGCGGAGGGCCTTTGTCCCGCACTCCGTGCCAAGCAAGTTGCCAGGGATAAAAGATTGCAACGTTGCAGCCAACGTTGGAATCTGGTTTGGCACGTGGTTGCAATTGGGTTGGAACCGTTGTACCAACGTTTGTCCGTCGTTATTTGTTTATATACTGGGTTTGGGTGGAGTGGTTTAACCGTATGGGCGCCGTGGTGGCTTGATGTTAACTACCTCGCCTAGTATACAGGAGGTCGTGGGGTTTGATCCCGACCCTGACACCTGCTGCTGTATATTTGGAGTTTGTAGGTCTGTCTCTCTTTCTGCCCCCGTGATCGTGTGGATTTTTCTCAGAGCCTTCCGGGTTTCCCCTCCACATTTAGAATCAAACCGTCCGTTTGGAGTGTTTGGCTGCTGTAAATGTCCGCGTGATGAGAAGCCACCACTAAGTTGAGCTGTCATCGCGTGTGGCCAGGTCGCTTCTCCAAAAGAGCTGTACAGCTCAGTGGCCCTTACCTGGTAAAAAAAAAAACTAGTTTTTAGTATATTTGACCACCCTGGTTGGTAGAGGCAGGGAGCCATGGACGTTGGAATACAGTACAGTAAATGTGGTTTTCTGTGCTGCCATCTGCTGGCAATGGATTCCGGCCACGTGTTTGGCAGGGCGGTTAGTGGTCCAGATGTCTTGTAACGCCCATTTAATTCTCTCAAACCTCATAATTGTTACGGTTTATTTAAACACTTACATTAATATGCAAAGGGAGTTTTTTTTCAGAGGTCAATTAATTGCCGGTCACAAGCCATCTGGTCCACCCTGTACTCTGGCATTGGAGTTGTGGTTATGAGATGCCTCGTTTCGCCCCCGTCATGGGAACGTGGTATTGCCACCACTGGCTCAGGGCACAGTGTGAGAAGCAGAGTTGTGATTGTGTGTGGCACACAGCACACCTGTAAAGCACGCATCTCCCTCCGTGAGAGATGGTGACCGCTGCTTTTCGTGGCTTATGATATAAGCACATGACATGAGGTGGCGAGGTTTGTTTGAACAACATCGGGGTTGACGATTGACCCCGGGTCAGGGTTTTGATAACTAGGTTTAGGCCTAAACCCAAACATAAACCCATCAAAATTCTAAACGGCGGCTCGGTGTCGTGACTGCATTAAGTCCTGACCATAAATCCATCCCACCCCGAGCTGAAACCGGGTAAGGGTTTGGACTGGGTTTAACTCTGGCCCGAACCCTAACAGGAGGTTAACCTGGTTTATAGCTTTCTCTACACCTGGGTCTGTGTGCTCAGTTTATATGTGTTCGTGAGCAAGTCTACACATGTATACAATTTTTGCGTGCCTATGTGTGTTCACACCTGTAGGCCTGTGTGTGTTCACACCTGTAGGCCTGTGTGTGTTCACACGTGTAGGCCTGTGTGTGTTCACACCTGTAGGCCTGTGTGTGTTCACACCTGTAGGCCTGTGTGTGTTCACACCTGTAGGCCTGTGTGTGTTCACACCTGTAGGCCTGTGTGTGTTCACACGTGTAGGCCTGTGTGTGTTCACACCTGTAGGCCTGTGTGTGTTCACACTTGTAGGCCTGTGTGTGTTCACACGTGTAGGCCTGTGTGTTCACACCTGTAGGCCTGTGTGTGTTCACACGTGTAGGCCTGTGTGTGTTCACACCTGTAGGCCTGTGTGTGTTCACACGTGTAGGCCTGTGTGTGTTCACACGTGTAGGCCTGTGTGTGTTCACACCTGTAGGCCTGTGTGTGTTCACACCTGTAGGCCTCTGTGTGTTCACACGTGTAGGCCTGTGTGTGTTCACACCTGTAGGCCTGTGTGTGTTCACACGTGTAGGCCTGTGTGTGTTCACACCTGTAGGCCTGTGTGTGTTCACATGTGTAGGCCTGTGTGTGTTCACACGTGTAGGCCTGTGTGTGTTAACACGTGTATGCCTGTGTGTGTTCACACCTGTAGGCCTGTCTGTGTTAACACGTGTAGACCTGCGTGTACCTGTATTTGTGTTCACATTCGTACATCTGTACAGATCTACATGTATGTGTTGACATCTGTGTGTACCTGTGGGTGTGTTCATATGCGTATACCTGTGTGTGTGTGCTCACACCTGCACACCTGTGTGTGTGTGCTCACACCTGCACACCTGTGTGTGTGTGCTCACACCTGCACACCTGTGTGTGTGTGCTCACACCTGCACACCTGTGTGTGTGTGCTCACACCTGCACACCTGTGTGTGTGTGTGCTCACACCTGCACACCTGTGTGTGTGTGTGCTCACACCTGCACACCTGTGTGTGTGTGTGTGTGCTCACACCTGCACACCTGTGTGTGTGTGTGTGTGCTCACACCTGCACACCTGTGTGTGTGTGTGTGTGCTCACACCTGCACACCTGTGTGTGTGTGTGTGTGCTCACACCTGCACACCTGTGTGTGTGTGTGTGCTCACACCTGCACACCTGTGTGTGTGTGTGTGCTCACACCTGCACACCTGTGTGTGTGTGTGTGCTCACACCTGCACACCTGTGTGTGTGTGTGTGCTCACACCTGCACACCTGTGTGTGTGTGCTCACACCTGCACACCTGTGTGTGTGTGCTCACACCTGCACACCTGTGTGTGTGTGTGCTCACACCTGCACACCTGTGTGTGTGTGTGCTCACACCTGCACACCTGTGTGTGTGTGTGCTCACACCTGCACACCTGTGTGTGTGTGTGCTCACACCTGCACACCTGTGTGTGTGTGTGCTCACACCTGCACACCTGTGTGTGTGTGCTCACACCTGCACACCTGTGTGTGTGTGTGCTCACACCTGCACACCTGTGTGTGTGTGTGCTCACACCTGCACACCTGTGTGTGTGTGTGCTCACACCTGCACACCTGTGTGTGTGTGTGCTCACACCTGCACACCTGTGTGTGTGTGTGCTCACACCTGCACACCTGTGTGTGTGTGTGCTCACACCTGCACACCTGTGTGTGTGTGTGCTCACACCTGCACACCTGTGTGTGTGTGTGCTCACACCTGCACACCTGTGTGTGTGTGTGCTCACACCTGCACACCTGTGTGTGTGTGTGCTCACACCTGCACACCTGTGTGTGTGTGTGCTCACACCTGCACACCTGTGTGTGTGTGTGCTCACACCTGCACACCTGTGTGTGTGTGTGCTCACACCTGCACACCTGTGTGTGTGTGTGCTCACACCTGCACACCTGTGTGTGTGTGTGTGCTCACACCTGCACACCTGTGTGTGTGTGTGTGCTCACACCTGCACACCTGTGTGTGTGTGTGTGCTCACACCTGCACACCTGTGTGTGTGTGTGTGCTCACACCTGCACACCTGTGTGTGTGTGTGTGTGCTCACACCTGCACACCTGTGTGTGTGTGTGTGTGCTCACACCTGCACACCTGTGTGTGTCCTGCAGGGTACACTGTGATTGCCCCTGCGGGGTACGCGGGCGCCTACCCCACCATGGTGCAGCCGGACTCCTCGCTCATGCAGCCCCCCATCACCTCCGTGCTCGTTGTGGGGGGCTGCCCCGCGTGCAGGTATGGGGGGGGGGTCTGCACCCCAGGGGGTCCCCTCACACCAGGGGCCCCTCACGTCACATACACCTCACCCCGTGTACCCCACAAACCTATTAGACTAGGTCCCTTATCAGACCAGGTCACCACCTATTAGACCCGGTCCTCCATTAGAGCAGGTCACCACCTATTAGACCAGGTTCTCAGCAAACCAGGTTTCCTGTTCGACCAGGTCTCCCTATCAGACCAGATCCTCTGTGAGACCAGGTCTCTCTAACAGACCAGATCCTCTGTGAGACCAGGTCTCTCTAACAGACCAGGTCACCACCTATTAGACCAGGTTCTCAGCAAACCAGGTTTCCTTTTCGACCAGGTCTCCCTATCAGACCAGATCCTCTGTGAGACCAGGTCTCTCTAACAGACTAGACCCTCTGCCAGACCAGGTCTCTCTAACAGACCAGGTCATTTCTGACATCGGGCTTGGCGACATAATCGACCATGTGGTTGAAAATGACCGCGGGGCAGATTCCACCCAGTGCTACTCTCACAACGGGTCCGTGAGTTGCTGCCCTGGAGACCTGGAGATCGTTGACTGACGGTCGGTCAGAACCAGAATGAGAATATTTATTCATACTGGAGGAATCCGATGAGCTATGAAGCTCTTTTTCACGGGTGCCCAGTAAGGACAGGTCAGAATGTTCCAACAACAACAAACAATACAAAAACACAATAGGAGTGCGAAGTATAGGAAAGGTAAATAATCACTGAAAAAAATATATACAAAGAAAATAAACTTTCTATCTTACCAGGTAAAGCCCACTGAGCTTATTAGGTTGATGACGGCATTCGTTGCGACTAGCAGGAACCCGCTGAAAGAAGTTCTGCTGTAAAAGGATGTCGAATGTGTACATAGGCTCACTTCATATCTCACGTGACGCAATCACCCCTCTGCTGATACTCACCAATGTGGCGTGACGTCACTCCTTCCCTCTCCACCTTCTCGTGACGTCAACAAGCCCTTCACCTTGCATCACCCCAGAGGTCGCGTGACGTCACCCCGGTGCGTTACAGAAGACACAAAGACGAATATTCCCTGTGTAGCTTTAACAGACTGTTGGGGCAAGTGCTGTCAGCGAGCACCTATGAAGGCCGGCACGGCACATGAGGGGGTTGGGTGGCCAGCACCACGCCTTTGTGTCCATAGTGGCGATGTTTACACACCGCACCAGGTACTCATTTGAGGCTGAATCGACCTAGGGGAGGCCCAGGACCGGTTCAGATAATCGACACTGGTGTTGGCCGTGAGCGGGAATGGAACTCGCGTCGCCGGGTTCGTAGCGCGGCGCGCTAACCGCAACACTATCGCTCCCCACAGACGGACAGACACACGCACGAACAAGCGTATGATAATAATTCTTATATAGATTTCTCACTGAACAGAGTGGACCACGTGAAAGCTGCCACCTTATCTGGCTCAACTTCAACCTGCAGTCACTGTCGAGTTGTTACTCGGCGTCGACATGATCCACAAGGAAGCAGGAGGAGGAGACCAAGGTCCCTTTTCCACTGCTTTATTTCAAATAAGTGCCATTTGTAGAAACGCTGTTTAAAAATTCACCACGATGGATAACAACTTGTGAATTGTTGGCCACGTTTTTGTTTTATGTTATTCGATAACTGAATATGTACACTTGCATTAAGCCTCTTTAAACTGGCCTTCACCCGCCGGTTCTAGCCGTTCACTCCTGTTGTGTTTATTTCCTGCCTTCCGTACATGGTGGCGCATTGGGATCTACGGACGAAATGCACCTTTCAAATGTAAATTATTATAACATCGCCTCCGATCAGCACGGTTGACAACGTACGGTGGTGCGACAGAGGTTCAACATGCAAGCGTACATATTGAAGTTCTTTACGTTTTGTCAAATAACCGCACGTAGGTATACAGTGCAGTGAATGAGTGTGAAGCCCAAATGAGCCGAATGTGACTCGTGCTGTCCAATTACCGACGGCTATGATGGCCAGTAACGAGGATGCCCGCTGTAAATAGGACACGTGGGCCCACAGTGTGCGGTGCCGGTGCTCAGACACGATGGGGGTGGTGGAGGGTTGGGGGGGGTTTGCGCAATCGGCGCTCCTTTTAATTTTGGCCCCGAGTGGCGAGTGAACCTCCCAAACGAGCGCAGACACGCTCCGGGTGGCTGTCTGCGCCTTTACGTATGGTCGCACTCATTACACACAGTGTGATTGCCACATGAACCACAATACCTTTGCTGGTAGTGTCAAGGAACAACAAACCATCACGCCAACATCCTGGCAGCGGCGGCTTTTTGGCTGGCCATCGAACAAAGGCGGTCACCGCGTCGCGCGCGTTCAGATGCGCTATTGCGGCCGTCTGGAATGCTCTTCCAATATTAGAAAGCCACTGGAGCTAAGCACTTTTAAACATGGATTGAAAACTAATTTCTTTAGAACTGCCAGTACCAAAATATAGTAAGAGTGGTTTTTGTTTGCATTTTGACCGCAGGTATTGTGGTTAATGCAAACATGATTCCTTCTAAAAAGGTTTCAGTTTTGTTGCCAGAAAAAAGGGGGGAAAACCTATTGTTATATTTTGGTCCTGGCAAAGGAGGCCTCGTGATGTAAACAAGAGAATAATCTCGACCTTAGATCGTGACGGGATGGGGGAGACCGTCATCCAGAAGCAGATAGAACATTGCTGCTGATCATGATGATGTATTAAACATATTCACAGCTATGAGAAGGCCATTGCATTGCAGCTTTTTGTTCCAAAGCCCAAACTTTAAATAAAAAAAAAACATAAAACATGTTTTTAGGAAAAAGCCACCTAAAACCACAGTTCGAGCCCAGCATCGTAATCTGACGAAGACAATGCTAAGACAAGGCCATTGTGAACCCCGTGAGGTTGTCTGGTGGCCCTGTGATGGTGCGATTTGGAGGGTCTATTTTAGTGAGCGCTTGAGTATTGTGTTGCACAGTGATATTAATAGGGGCGACTGTACCGATACGTGAGCCGCCAGCCACAGCGGTTTAGAATACTGCACGGCTCTCCCTGCTGCATGGTATGAGAGTTTAAACCCGAGTCTGGGCTTGGCTTTCGCTCTTCCCTCCAGGGGCGATACAATGAGCAGTGCCAATTGGTGGGAAGTCAACGGTGATCATTGTTGATTGGATAGACTTGCCCTTGCCGCAATTACGTGGAATTTCCACCACTGGCTCGCAACTGTGAGTTCTAAGCACCGCCACATGCTTGTTTTGAGTTGGAAACCACTTATTTTTTACCTGGTGATGGTGTTATTGATGCAACGGATTCACAAATCCATCCGTGTAGAGTTTTGGGCGTCACCCTCTCGTGTGCGTGAGTTTTATCAGTGTTCTCCGGTTTCTGCCCACAAGGGAAAACGCACTCGCCGGTGGAATTTGGCCAAATATTCCAATACCAGGCCCTACAGAAAAAATATCCCCAAGCCTTTGGGTTCTTCTGGATAAATGGCATTACAGTAATTCCCTCGATTAACGTTTTTAATTCTTTCCACGAAAACTACTGTTAACCAAAAAAACTGTCAATCGAATATGGGATTGGCATGTTAAAACCATTAATCCATTCCAAGACGATCAGAAGTTTACCTCTTTGACCCTAAAACATAGTTCGTAACATTTAAACACTCAATATTAATAAACTAGCCTTTTGCCCGTCCAAGGACGGGTGTATTGTGGTGAATCTGAAACTTGCAAGCGAAAAGCAGACCGTGACGTGATATTCATTGCATCAATGCGTGTGCAATTTGTGAGGGCGCGGTGACACAGACCTATTTCATTTAAAGGTTATAATCTCTTGTTCATCATGACGTCCTTTTTACTTTGATGTCTCAACAGCGCTACGGAGATCGGGTGACGTGAGGGTTGTAAGTTGACGCTGAAGAGGGGAGAGGAGGCGCCTCTCCCCCCCCATGTGGAGTGACGTCACCCGCTAATAATTATTAATGAGGGGGGAGGGTGCTCCATGTGGAGTGACGTCACCTGCTCATGAATATTAATGAGGGGGGATGGTCGATGTAGAGTGACGTTACGAGCGTTAAGGACATTCCTAGGTGATTATAGTAGGTAAAAGCATGATAACACTTTAAATAATGCTTTGTTTTAAGGCTAATTGCTTACCTAGTCTTCTCCTTTTTGCGAATTCACTTTAGGGGACATTGCAATCACTACGAATTCACTTATGAGTAAAAAAATTAGTTTAAAATAAAATCACCGAGTCTGCAAGAGAGCTGTTTCGACTGCCAAAACAGAAGACGTATCCTGTAATAAACGGGCATCCCTGATTAGCCGTGGGCATGGCTCCTCAGCCCCACTTACGAGCACTCGGATTGGTCGAAATTGGCACCCGCGTGCATCATCTAAGTACCGCTGAATTCAAATTTCAACGTTAATCGAAACCATGGGGTGGGTCCTATGGAAGGCGAAATTGTTAACCGAAAAACCATGAACCAATGTCACTGTTAACCGAGGGACGACTCTGTTGATATTTTGTGCTCATAATAGTTGTATTGTTATCATCACGCTTGTTACCCATGCGAGACTCGCCGAGTCTCACGACTCTCTTTCAGGAGGCTCCTGCCAAGTTGTCGCTGTGGAGGGAGGGGGATGGCATCATTGCCGAGCGTAATCCCAGGCCAAGTCGCTGAGTAATTCCAGTTGAGAGTTTGAATTCCAATTCTTAATTCCTCCGCTGAACTGCAGCGAGGGTTCCGCACTCTTTGGGCGTGCTTCGTGTGCATGTACTGCACACTTAATCGGCGTCTGGCGCTGGTGGTTGTTAGTGGCGCTGGTGGTTGTGGGGAGCGGTAGTGCAGCGGTTAACGCGCTGCGCTACGAACCTAGCGACACGAGTTCGATTCCCGTTCATGGCCAATATCATTGATGATTATCTGAACTGGTCCTGCGCCTCTCCTCAAATGAGTACTTGGTGCGGTGTGTAAACATCGCCGCTGGGGAGACAAAGGCGGCTGGGCGTGGTGCTGGCCACCCGCCTCGTGCGCCGTGCCGGCCTTCATAGGTGCTCGCTAACAGCACTTGCCCCTACAGTCCGTTAAGGCTACACGGGGGATCTTTGTAGTGGTAGTGGTGCTGGTGATTGATGTGCGGTGGCAGTGGTGGTTTGGGTGTGGAGTTGTTGGGGTCCGTGCGCCTTAGTTTGCGTTGGTTTCATTTGTTGTAGTTCGCTTAATGTGGTTTTGTTGTGGTTGTAGTGGTTTGGAGTCAATGGTTACCACACTGTGATTTCCATTGTTAGTCTGCTGCAGTTACATTGCCACCGTTTCCACAGTTCATGTATGCAAGGATGTTGATCTTCCTGTGCGCCGTACGTAGCCAAACGCGCTAATCGGAGGTGCGGGAGAAGAACAAACTAAACACAAAAAGCCGTTCTAAATAAATTGGTTTTCAGTCTAGGTTATTTAAAAGTGCATAGCTCCAGTGGCTTCCTAATATCGGAAGAGAGTTCCTGACGCCCTCGGAAGCGCGTCCGAAAGGGCGCGACACGGTCACCGTCTTTGTTCAATGGCCAGCCAAAACCCCGCCGCTGCTCGGATGACCAGAGTTCGCGTGATGGGTGGTTTGTGCTCCTTGACGAGATCAGCAAAGCTATTGCGGCTCATTCGTGGCAAGCACTCTGAAGGCTACGCGGCGGAGGGTGCGAATCGCCGTCTCCGCGTGCCGTGTACGTGGTGCAGGGTGGGCGTGCTGGAGGACGAGTACACCTGCCTGGGCATCTGCTGCGCCATCCTCTTCTTCCCGATCGGCATCCTGCTCTGCCTGGCGCTGCGGGAGCGCCGCTGCCCAAACTGCGGCGCCGTCTTCGGCTGAGGACGCACCCGGACTCGCGCACGGAGAGAGCGCCCCGGGGTTCAGCCCGAGTGTAACCCTGACCGCCCCCCTGACCCCACTCCCAACTCTGAGCCCCTAACCGTGATTCCAACAATAAACCCCGTGACCATGATATGTACAGTTGCCCCCCCACCTCATCTTGACGTGAACGTTGACACCCTAACCCCAACCTCAACCCGAAACCATTGACCCTAACCCTGGCTCCTAACGCAAACCCCTAACCCTATCTATGCCCCTAACCCTGACCCACTAACCCCAACTCCCAACACTAAATCACTAACACTAGATCTGAGGCTAACTGTAACCCTCGCTCTTAACTGTGCGTCACTCGCATCACACCACTCGCACCGCATCACTTCACTTACAAACTCAACTCGCCACACCACCTACATGCACACATATCACCATGCTGCTTACCAAACCACCACACCACCCATCTCGCGCCTCACCACCCAACTCACCACACCACCAAACTCGCACCACACCACCCAGCTCACCACAGCACACCACCCAACACACCACCCACACTGCCCCAGGCACCTGACTGCAGGGGTGTCACGGAGTGGACGGTGGGTCTGTGCGTGGGTGTGTTGTACACGTGCAATTTGTACCACAGTATTTACGTTTGTAAAGTGTTTGAATGCCGGCATAGCTAATGGGAAATGGAACTCAAGGGTGTATTTGGGAATATAGGGGGTGGTGGATGTTGGCTATTCGTGGTGTGTGTGTGTGTGTTCCCTAAATGACATCGATGTCACCATATTTTCTGGATTATAAAGACGCTCCAGAAAGTAAAAGAAGCACTCCAACCTGGTGCCCTGATGCTAAAAATAGTTGAACACGTAGTAGTGGTAGTAGGAGACGTTCGCGACCATTATTGTCCATAATTGAGGTTTTTCTTTTTTGGGTAAGATCGCGTCGGAGGATTTCTCCACAACTCTGGCTGCAGCCTGATGAGGCTGGTTGTTGTAATTACCGGCGAAATGTCGTGGTGTTTGTAACCCAACACAAGTGGTGTGCTGAACTAGTAGCGAATTGGCACGTTTTGTTTACGGAACACTACCTTAGTAATTGGCTGCGTGGGGTGACAGCGGGTTTAGCTACACATTTATATTTACGCGATCTAACCCAAAAGAAACCCCCTCTATTATGGATAATAAAGTTATAACAAATCTGGTTTCTCTCGCGCGCAACAAAGACAAAAGTCCCCTTTATAGCCTTAACAGACTGTTGGGGCAAGTGCTGTTAGCGAGCACCTATGAAGGCGCACACACGTGTGCACACACGCACGACTTACCGGATTATAAGTTCCCCCCCCCCCCAACCTCTTCTTAAACATCAGCAGAATACGGTCATGACGAAGCTGGGGTTGATGATCATGCAATGATGGGAGCTTTGATTTAGTGGGTGGTGGTGGTGTGTGTGAGCAGTTCTCCTTCCTATCCTGTGAGGCATCGGCTGTGGGAGGCAGTACAGCAAGCGGGTGTCGAGGCACGAGGCTCCGCGTGGCGGAGAGTGTGCGACTGGGTCTCTGCGTGGGTGGATTCTTCCTGGCCACTGGAAAGAGTAATTGGGCAAATTTCCCAAGCAGATCTCCAGCCTGGCAGTATAGTACAATCTTGTAGATTCTGAAGCCTTTCTGGCTCAAGATTTTGAATCTAAATGCCGTTCTTCGCACATTTTCAGAGGGGGGGGGGGGGCACTTTCGCTGATAAGACATCACGAGTGTGAGGGCCGCCACCCATTTGAAACCATTGGGATTTGACAGCGGCACGATGGGGGGTTGTTTTTACATTTGTGTATTGTCGGGGGCAGCACTGAAGGTGACCAGTGGCCCGCAGGCCTTTGCGATGGAGAACACTGGCCTAAATTATCCAGGAAAGCCTCGCTTGGTCTCATGAATCATTTTCAGCAGGGCCCTGCAATGGTGTCTTTGGCCAATTCCTGCTTGTCGAGTGTTGTGTACGTGCGAAGAAAAACCCCACCGTGCGTACAAGGGGATTAACGGATTTGGCACTTCAACCCACTTGCTGGACTGCTGCCTCTTGCATCCCAGCCGGGATCCCACGGACCACGTCCACGGCACCGGCTCGCAGGCATGCGCCACCGTGCCAGGCTAAGTGCGCAAACGGGCGGGGAGGGAGGGGGTGGTGGTTGCGTACGACGTGATGACACGGAGGAGTCGAATGTGCCACGAAGAAACGTCTCGTGGCTTCCACATCCCCAGACAGACGCTCATGTCCCCGCTCGTGGGCCCCACCCTGGAAGGGGCGGTGGGCCCAGTTCTCCCCCTTCACTGGGCCCTGTCGCGTCCAACTCGGGCTGCTGTTCGCAACATTTGTTTCCCCCCCCACACTGTGTTCAGCGCTTTGTATCGGGCTCGCGTTGAGTTGTAACGAGACAAACATCTCGCGGTAACATGCGCAACTGCAACGAGATTACCGTGATTCTCATCGTCGTCGTCGTCGTCATGCCTCGGGTGCGAAGCATGAGCTGCTGTGGGGTAGTGCAGGAAGGAGGAGAGAATGGGTTGCCGTGTGGACCGGGAGGAGCCGAGAGGTTGCCATGGACGACCGTGCGGAGGGAGTTTCGGACGTCACCCACAATACGCACGCAGAGCTTGTGATTTTGTCAAAGTTGCCGTGGTTGCCTGAAATTTACTTGGTGGGGGCCCATGGCGTTCGTGACGAGCTCTTGTCACCGTGATAGTACGTTAAACTTCTTTCGCACCCTACGTAGTCAACCGTACTCATCGGAGGTGCAGGGGAAGGACAACAAACTCGACACAAAAATCAGTTCTAAAGAAATTCATTTTCAATCAAGATTAAAAATGAAGAAGCGTTCCAGACGGCCACGGAAGTGCATCGGAAAGTGCGTTAATGGCTAGCCATAAGCCTCTGCGAGGATGACCGAAGTTCGCGTGATGGTTTAGTCTCCTTGATGAGATCAGCAACCAGTTGTGGCGAGCGCTGTGTGTGTGTGTGTAACGAGTGCGACCTCAATGCAACCGGAAGCCAATGCAGCTCTGCGAGCACCAGACAGACACGGTATCATCGGCTCTTGCAGTCACCCAGCGGCGCGTGCGTTTGCCAGCCTCGTGCCCTCCGTCCTGTGTTCCGTTTTATCGGCAGAAAGGAACGGGGAGGGGGGGGCGTAAAAAGCCACGCTTCTCATCATCCTCCCAGCAATTCGGTGCCAATGGGCATTCTGGGAAATGGAATTGTGAGGTTTGAATCCATGTGCGTGGAGCCTTGATTGTGTTGCCTTGTTGCATGCGTGGTAGCAGCGGCGTTCGTTTTCTTCCCCACGAAGTCAAAACGCTCACTAATAATGGCATTGGCCACACGGCCACAGTGTGGCAGGACCCTCCTGAACAAAACCATATTCTTGCCAACTCGGTGAGGCCCATTATCAACTGTATTAAAACACGTCCACTATCGTCATAACTGAACTCACTAACAATTATGTTTACCCAAAATTCCTGAGAAATTGTTTGCGACTGCAAATGTCGCAATCGTGTGTTTTGTCTGTTTCACGGCATTGTTAATGACAAATGTTAGGGGGTTGAATGTCTGTGTTCTTGTGTTACCACTGCCAACAGATTCGTATTATTTTTTTTATATGGTGGGCTTATTTAATAGGGGGATGGTTTTGTGTTTGAAATGCCACAGTATTACCATTAGTAGTATTCACGGCCTATGGGAGGCCAAGTTCTCACCACGTTGAACACAAGCTGTGAGTCGCCCCTTCCCCACCTCACCTCCTCCCCCACCTCCCTCCCCCTCTCCCCACAACCCCCCTTCCCCTCACCTCTCACCCCCCTCCTAACCCCAGCACGGCCGCTGCTGCTGCTGCTCCATAACGTTTATAACTCCGGTTCTCGACCCGCGAGTCGCCAGGCTGCGGCACGGATACCGTGCGGGAGAAATGTTGGAATCACACGGGGGGGGGGGGCGGTAGACGTTGTGGCGACAAAACACAGTGACTCGACACGCCAAGAAACCGCAGTGGCACCATCACTTTCGACATGAGCTGATCTCCGTAACCTGGGAAGCACTGCAGACCTGTGGGTCTTGAGTGGTGGGGGTGGTGGTGGGGGTGGTGCCTTAGCGAACCGGTGAAGAACCGTTGGTCTCAACCAGTGGGTCTTCACTCATCTTCAGAGGGGGGAGGGGGGAAGGCCATTTTCGCGGATAAGACATCAGTTGTGAGGGCCACCACGCATTTGAAAACATTGTCGGGTGTGACAGCCTAACAATGGGTTGCGTTTTCACATTTTGTGTATTGAAACAGCGAACTTAACAAAAAAACATTTGACCAGGTAAGGCCCATCGAGCTATTTCAGCTCTTTTTTTTGCCCAACGCGACCCGGCCACAAATGACAGCTCAACGAAGTGGCTTGTCATCACGTGGCTTATCACGTGGACATTGATAGCAGACAAATACTCTTAAAGGCGTGAGGTTGATTCTAAATGGGGGGGGGGGGTGGGGGCGGGGAACCGGAGAAAAATCCACGCGACCACGGAAGAGATGGAGAGACGCAAACTCCACAACGATACAGCAGCCATCAAGGGTCGGGATCGAACCCACGCCCTCCTGTATACCTGGCGAGGGAGTCAACATCGTCGTTTGTGGCCGCACTAAAGGCCACCAGGGGACGCCAGTGGCCTGCGGTTATAGGGTGTGGAGGGAGAGGCAGAGGTCGCAACCGGGTACCCGATACCCGTACCCTACCCGATACCCAGCTACCCATACCCGGCCGAGTACGGGTAGGCTGTGAGTCACTGGTGAGTAACCGTTTGTCACTCATTTCGGGTAGGGTACGGGTAGGTTACGGCTACCTGTACCCGGCCGGGTACCCATTTGCGACCCTTGTAGGGCCGGCTAAGGAATCAAAACCCGTTTGTGGCCTCTGGGGAGAGGTGCGCGTGGATGTTGGGTGAGAACGTGGGCCTGGGGCAAGGGGGCTTGATTACACACCGGTTGACGGGGGGCGGCGGGTGGGGTGTAGGAACCATTCGTTCACACGTCGCACAACTTTTAACGTGCTAAATAATATAAGCTACCGATGTTTAAGCTCGGAATAAAGTAACGTAGAAAAATTGTCAAAACAAAATGTAATAAAACCGTTTACAAAAGCCGTGTGATTGTGGTTCAGAATCATCGCTGCACTAGAAGCTGCTGCTGCTGCTGCTGTTGAACGAAAGGGGAGATTGAACGTCCCCAGTTTCCCCCGCTCCTTAACATTTCCCGATTTTAGCCAAGTCTTTGAAATGCCCTTGTGTCGCCGTCCACTGGACTTGGGTCTCAACATTCAAGCAGTTCCGCCCTCCCGGGCCCAGGGGGAACGCGTTCTCAGAAACCCCTTCCCCCCACATCCCCCCACATCGTCTTCTCTGCAGTGACAGAGACCGTGCATCTCAGATCATCAACTAGGAAGTGTGCGATTGGGAGGCTGCACCGTTGTGGAATGAGGCTTTTTTTTAAGTACCGGAGCGAGGTGGATTGTTGCTTTGCTTAGAGAAGAGATGGAGTGATGTGGTACACGAGGATGCGGTGCTGAGTGGACTTGCCGATGACTGGTACCAGCGGTGTCAAGATCGGCCTCTGTGGAGGAGGCTCGTGAAGGACGCTGCTACTGGGCAGTTGGAGGCAGTCGCCCTCCAGCAACGGAGAGCAGAGGAGCGACGCTCACAACAACGAACGGGACGCCGGGCGGATAAAACGCAGCAGGTTGGCACAGTAGGGGGCGCAGGTGGTGCATCTGCCAGTCTCATCTCAGTCGACCCGTGGCACCACCTGGGTCTGTACCGTGACCTGCCAGCGGGCGTTCGACACTTCACGTGGCCTTGGCGTGCACATAGCCTGGCACAAGCGCCGTGGTAACGTTACCGACACCGAGTTGGCGAATGGCGGTTGTTGTTGCGAGACTGCGCGAGATGCCGGCATATTTTTAGCTGGTTGGGAGCGGCCGTTATCCAGCGGCTGATAGAGCGTGGCTGAGGAATTCCTATTGGATGGAAGTGCAAAAACACTGAACTCCGAAACAGCGCGAGGTCACGCAAACCTGGACGACAGCGGAAGAATTCCGTTGTGGTTCAGCGTTTTTACACCGAAATTCAAATTAGCATCAGGTCATGCGCACACACCAGACTGGTGGTCGAGGAATTCCATTGGGATTTAAGTGCAAAAAACGCCGAACCCCAATTAGCGTCGGGTGATGCATTGCAACACCCGACGGTTTAGTTGCATTGCAACACCCGACGGTTTAGTTGCACGTGGAGTCGTCACGTGAACAGACTTCGGCAATTCCTGGCGAGAAACGCACTCTGGACAAAGTGACTTCGGGGTGAGGATGGGGTTGGTGAATCACAAAGGGATGGGAGTACCGATTTTAAACAATAGATATTTCTAAACTTGCATTCATCAACAACATCGACTTAATATAAAAAGTATGTAACCGGCAACGTTTCGGGCAACGGCCCTTTATTGCTATGAAGGGCCGTTGCCCGAAACGTTGCCTATTATATACCATTCCGAATAAGGCAACCCAGAGTCTTGACGAATGTGCCAAGACTACCAAACGACGCAGTGCCGCCAAAGAATGTGTTCTAACGCTCAGGAGTGGCGATGGCGTGCAATGAAGTTGCTTGTACAGAGCAAGTGGGTTCCTGTACTCGTACAGATGTTGACCCACCACACCGGGTACTCTACTCATTTGAAGGCCGAGTCGATCTAGGGGAGGCCCAGAGTCAGCACAAACATTTGTACACACGCAGGCACATACTTTTACACATTCGTGCACATTTTTTTACAAAGATCCCCCGTGTAGCCTTAACAGATGTTTGGGACAAGTGCTGTTTACGAGCACTCCTATGAAGGCTGAGACGGCACACAAGGTGGGGGGTGACCAGGACTGGAGCACGCCCGGCCGCCTTTGTCTCCCTAGTGGCGATGTTTACACACCGCGCCAGGTAACTCATTTGAGGCCGAATCATTTACCAAACACACACACAACTGAAGACAAAGACAAAGAACCCCATATGGCCTTAAGACTGTCGGCCCAATTGCTGACCTAACACCCACGGTAAACACTGCCCCCTTAACCTCGCGCGCACACAACCACAGGGTCTTCTAACCCGAGCCCCGACCCAAGTCCTCAACCCCGACTCTCCCCCCCCCCCAACCCTGCACATTCGATAATAAACAACAACGAGGTCACAGAGCGAGGCGGCCGGTCTCGTGAGAAGTCGGGTTTTATTGGAAGACTGGGTCGGCGTACGCCACCCCATCATCATCAACAACAACACCACCAAAAAAAAAACCCAAAGAAAAAGATCCCCCGTGTAGCCTTAACAGACTGTTGGGCCAAGTGCTGTTTGCGAGCAGAACATATGAAGGCCGGCACGGCACACGAGGGGGGGTGGGTGGCCAGCACCACGCCCGGCCGCCTTTGTCACCCCAGTGGCGACGTTTTACACATTGAACCGGGTACTCATTTGCGGCTGAGTCGACCTAGGGGAGGCCCAGGACCGGTGCAGACAATCGTGGCTGGGTGTTGGCCGTGAGTGGGAATCGAACCCGGGGTCGCCGGGTTCGTAGCGCAGCGCGCTAACCGCTACACCACCACCACCATCCGCCCCCCAAATCTCAGTGCTCACACCATCACGGTGTCGGCGAGGTGACAGGCGGACGGCAAAAAAAAGAAACCCACGTGATCGATCGTGGAGGAGCCGAACCAACGTTGGTCCAGCGCACGTGGCCAACGCGGTTGCAGACGCGCGTCGTGACGCCTCTCCCCCTCGAGACGGACATTCCATTGTTGGGGAGGCAGGCGGTGGGGGATGTTTCATGGACACAGACATCGATGTCCGTGAATAAAAAAATATGTACAACGAGCCTCTTTTGCTGCATTACAACACTCCACACGGTAAAACGTGCAACGTTGGGCCAACGTTGACAGAAGGTTGAAAACGTTGCCCCAACATTGGCCCGACGTTCCAGGTTTTACTGGGTCGTGGCCTCCCGGTGAAACATGCAACTCTGACCCCAAAGTTTCACGTTTACTGCGTCGCGGCTTAAACGCAAAATATATATATTTTTGGCTAATCTTGTCCAAACCCCCATGCCGTTAGACCCAACAGGGAAGGAGTTGCCTTAGAAAAATACATTTCATAGATCATCATCATCGTCAGCGCAGTCGTCATAATTGCTTTGTCTAGAGCCAGGGGTCGACAACCAAAACACCAACAAGAGCAGCCTTTCTTTTCGTTCCCAATTCGGTAACAAAACTCAAAGTTTTCACGAGCCGCCGATGCGTGCGAATACACACACACACACATCACGTGATGAAGCGGTCCCGGCATGCGGCTCCAGAGACGACCCCCCACTCCGACCCCCACCCCCTGGCCGAGAATCAACAGTTCGTAAACGTCGCAGATGGGACTGGCCACGGGAATGTGGAATTCACTCCAAGCCCCCCACCACCACCACCAGGTGTGCGTGACAAGTGGCACCGCGACTGCGGGTTGCAAGGACGCTCCGTTTACATTGTAGGACCCCCCCCCACCCTCCAAGACGCTGCATTCCCGGTGTCAACACATGTATACAAGTCCGGTATCTCCTCTCTCTCACAACACACAGCGCACCGACCGGGTTTGTAAGACGCACCTTCCCCCACCCTCGCCCCTCGCCTCGTCTTTAAGACGACAGGAGGTGTATTCACTCATTTTCAGAGGGGGGCGGCGGGCGGGAGGGCAGGAAGCCACTTTCGCCGATAAGACATCATCAGATGTGACAAGAGCTGCCACACATTTGAAACCCATCGGTGGTTTGACAGCACGAAGATGATGGAGATTGGGGACGAGGGGGGGGGGGGGTGCACGTCAGGGGCCACACGAAAGGCCACGAGTGGCCCGTGGGCCTTGCAACGGAGAACGCCGCTTTAAGATGTCGGGGAAGGTAACAGTGCGTCTTTAACAATCCGGGGAATCCGGCTTGATGCGCAACCCCCTTGTGACGATGCACGGCGATGAAGAGTCCCCGGGGGTGGGGTGGGGGGCATTGTGGTTTTAGATTATTGCTCAGAACGTTTCGACCGCCCTCGGGTATCGATTCAAGCTGCCCCGTGAGACGCTCCGCGTGCGTTTTTACGAGAAGAGAAACGGATTTCGCGCGAGTTTGAACTCCCGACGACGACTATTAAGGCACGGACGCCGCACTGGCGAGAATTTACGCATCAACAAAAATATATTTAAGTCATAATTTGTGCTCATACAACATAAGAGTGTGTGTTGTTTATGTGGGGTGGGGGGGCAATTAGCCAGCAAGACAACAAAAATTATATACCCTTAAAATCAATCAAAAGCAGCAGCAACGGTAGCAACAATAACAAAAATCATGGTCTGAAATGATCGCCAGGTTCAAGTCCCGGCCAACTTGGGTCACATCATAGCCACCACCACCAATCGTGACACCGGCGGACAGGAATATGATGAGTACCATGCGGTGATGACGGTCAGTGACGTGCGACCGTTTCATAAGTCACGTCAAGGCGGTCGGTACCTACCACAGGAAATGTGGAATTGTCACGAATTGCTGAGAAACCAACGGTGGTGGTGGTGGGTGACAAGCGGTGGTTTTTTTAAGCGAATGAGACTGTGACCCCGCCATATGAACGTGGAATCTCCCACCACGAGACCGGGATGGCGACAAGTGAGAGGCCTCTCCTGCCGCTCGGCTGGAGCGTCTTGGTTTCCCGTCTTTTGCCCAAAACGGAAACCTTTGAGCCCGTAAAAAACTCCCTCGTCGCACACGCTCTGCCTCCGGCGTTCGAATTTTTTTAAGAAGACAAACATCGTCATGGGCGTCGCGTGGAGAGACAACACGGAGATGGGCTTTTGAGATCGGTCTCGCAATCGATAACACTAACGACACACGCACATACACAGATGCGTTCACACACACACACGGCCACATACAGACAAAGATCCCCCCCCCCCACATAGCCTTAACAGACTTTTGGGGCAAGTGCTCTTCGAGAGGAGCACCAAGTTGAGCCCAGAATTTGGTGACGATGGGGTGGTGGGTGGTTAGCACCACGCCCGCTTGACTTTTGACAACTGGACACAGTCATACAAAGACAAAGATCCCCCGCCCCCCGTGTCGCCTTCAGCACAGACGGTTGGTGGCAAGTGCTGTTCGTGAGCCCCTATACAAGCCGGTAAGCACGCGAGCGGGGAGGGTGAGGCCACCACCACCACGCTCGGCCGCCTTTGTCTCACCGATGCTGATGCTTTTACACGCAGCACTCGTTTAATGCCGAGTCGACCTAGGGGATGCCCGGGACAGATTCAGATAATCGTCACCGATGTTGGCCGCGAGTGGGAATGGAACTTGGGTCGCCAGGTTTGCAGAGCAGCGCGCTAACCACACCACCACCACCACACCCAACTCATACACGTTACGTGCACCAAAAAAAAGACATGTTGAACGCACGCACACCAACACATAAATACGAATTCACCACGAAGCGAAGCCTGTGAATGTAACTGTACACCACGAGATGCCCTCAGAGGGACTTGGGAGACACAGCCATTGCGACCCCCCACACAGAGCGCCAGTGAATAATAATTGTACAGTAGTAGTAGCAGTAACCATCGTTGTCGTTATCATCATCATCCTCGCCGTCAGTTGCTGCGAAAGAACCTGCTATGTTTAGTGCAAAAATATATTCGTCACCTTTAGTGTGCACGGCTGCCGTCGGTGCGTACGTGCGCGCTTGCACGCACACGTGCCCCTGGGTGTGCGCGCGTGCCGGAGTGCGTATCTGCTTGCGCACGGGTACACACGCGTGTGCGCCATTGTGCAAATTTGCGCGCATGAACGCAAGCGTATATGTGTGTGTGTCTGTCTGTCTATGCAAGCTGGACGAAGTCGAATGACTGCATGCAACCTCGGATGTGTCGATCCCAGTTCGGGGTGTCTTGGTTCCGTGGTTTCCGATTTGGTCGGGCGAAACGCACGTGACTTCAGTCCCTGGTTTTGTTTTTCGGATCATCCAATTCCGTCGACGCGTCGGTCCATTCTGAAGCGTCGCTCAGCGTGCGCGACAGCCGTGCCAGATGCCTGGCCCCCACAACCCCTTCCTTACCCCCCCCCCCCATCCATATTTTATTTTTTGTGCAAATTGATCGGAGTCTGCGAACACAAACGAAACGCACTTGGGGTGTTTTGACACAACTCACCGATGACAAGTGTAGCGACGATTCATGAAGCGGATGGTCCATCTCGAACCCTAGCACCCGAACATCGGTCCTGTTTCCTAAAGATAACTGTAGCTTTTACCCCAAACTATGGAGCTGCAACTCTCACCCTGACCACAAGCATAACACCAACCTGAACGTAAATCCCAAAAAAACGTAGCCAGATCCTATACCCTAACCATTACTCCAAACTCCGGCACTCGGCTTAAAACGATTTTTTTTAAAAGTTTTTTTACCTACCAGGCAATGCCTACCGAGCTCTTATTCAGACGCGACCTGGTCACACATGATGGCACAACCAAGTGGCTTGTCATCATGTGGAAATTGATAGCAGTAGCCATATACTCTAAGCGCGCGGCGATTCTAAATGGAGGGAAAAGCCGGAGGGCCCAGAGAGAAAAATTCGCGCGACCACACGAAGAGACACATGCAAACTCGAAATATACAGCAGGCGTCAGGGTAGACCACACGGCCTGTATACCAGGCTAGGTAGTTAACATCGCTACCGCAGCTTAACTCCAGTACTATGCTTGACCATTGCCCCCTAACAATAACCAATAGTACTATCCAGAGTGGAAATCCTAACCCTTCCCCCAAACCTCATCCTTACCCCCAACGTATCATTGGGGGGGGGGGGGGGGGGCACGTGCCACCCCACCCCCCCCGGCTCCGCCAGTGGCGCCAACCCCAACCCTAACGCCGAGTCTAACCGCACCACCGCTATCCCAAGCCATAGCCGATGCCACACGCTAATGCCACACCCCTCCTCCTTCTAGAAGACACGGGGGGGGGGGGGGCAGCCCTGGGCGAGTTTCAGCAAGAGAGGACCTGTTGGTGCCAGCGTGGGTGCACGTGCGATGTGCCAACGTCGCGGTGGTTTGGTACCGGCGCCGTCGTCGTCGTCATCTCAAACTGGAAGCCGAGTGATGGCCGCGCCATCGCCGGCCGGACGCGGTCACGTATACAGGGTGACCCAAAAAAAACGGGCCCCGTGCACACGGGGCCTATTAGAGTTGGGGCCCGTTTTTTTTGGGTCACCCTGTATTTAATGCCGAGATATTTGGTGTATCCCTGCGCACGCATGACTGGGAGTCGAACCCGGGCCGACACAGTTATTGCGCGCGCACGCACGGACGACATCGCGCGAACGTTGATGTTGACAGTGCCGCCACCCACCCCACGAAAATAGCAACGCAATCAAGTGTAGTGTAATTACAAAAAAAAAACCAGAAAAACTCGCGCACATTCCATAAACGATGACTGGAAAAAGCTTAACGAAGTAAAACATCAAAAACCCGACACGGAATTAAATGCGCGCACGCGTGCGCGTCCGACCTCCACGTTCGCCAAGTCCGGGTTCGACTCCCGCCAGCGTGGAGGTATGAGTCGGGAGGAGACCAGGAACTGCTGCATGTGGCCCTCACCCAGAGAGACGGTAAATTTAAACGTCGGGAAAAAATAAACGAAAAATCATGATAAGTTATTATTCATCTAACAAGCGCAGCGGCGTTACAGACAGACAACAATGGCGGCGGGGCCCTGTGGGGCCCAGCTGGGCCCAGCGGGCGAGGAAGAGGAAGCCAACCACGAGGGATTTGGGGGGGGGGGGCGTGCGAGGAACCATGGCGGAGCTCCGCGAGGTGGTCTTGGTCTTGGGGAAGAGGTCCGTGGGCCCCAGGGTCATCCGCGGCCTCACTTGACCATGGGTCCCGAGCGATCGTTGGTGACCGTGGGTTTCAGCTTGACGCTCGCAAATGGGTTTCCGCTGCAAAGCACGAGGAGGCGGCGTGTCAAACCAACGTCACACCAACGTCACATCGCCATCACCGCCATCACTGCCATCACCGCCACGTGCCCCACGCGCGCGCACACTGCATCGCGCGCTTTCAGATGCGCTTCTGCGTCCGTCTGGAACTGCTCTTCCTTCTGATATTAGGAAGCCACTGGAGGCGTGCACGTTTAAATCATAAACTCATTGCTTTAGAAATGCTTTTTGAGTTTATTTCCATCCCCTGCACCTCCGATTTGCACAGTTGCCTACGTACGGCGGTGCGAAAGAAGTTCAACGTAGATAGATAGAATGACGCGGACGGCTGCATTGTCAGCCAAGCGAAACATCCAATTTAGCGCAGTGACCCTGCCACGGAAATGCGTCATTTTCCCCACTCCTGGTTCAGAGCCACCGGTGGGGAATGGGTGTCACCCCGTTCTACTCGCTTGAGCTCACGTTGATACGCGGATAAAATTTACCAAAAATATTCCACGGCATGACCCTCCCGCATATGCCTCTCGAAACTCCCGATTAATAAAATCTACTTTAAAAAATAGATAAATATATACCGTATTATTTAGTTAACATTAACTTTTTAAAAAAAGGAGGAACTTGATAATTAAAAAAAGAAAATCGGTCAAAATGGACAATGTATACTTTTAGGTATTTGGGCCAACAATTAGCAAATATAACAACGCAGAATAAACACAAACAAAAGACACAAACAGCGCCGGTTCTTAGACCCTTGCAGGATTGTTCACAGTTAGTAGAGCTTGACACATGCAGGCAACTGGCACATTCCATTCATTAGTTAGGGGGGGGTGGGGGAGTTGTGTGTGTGCAGGCTCCTGGACCATTCCATTCATTAGTTAGGAGGGCGGGGGGGGGTGAGAAGACAGGCAAGGGACTGTGATCTTGTGCGTCGCGTCCAGCACCTCTCAACACCGCGCTGCACGCTATTTGCATCTGGAAGCGCGTTGTTCTGCAGCCGAGTAGCAACAACAAAAAAGCGACAAGGCTAAGGCCAGAGCAGGCAGCAGATTAAATAGTTGATTAATTGGCCAATTAACTGCTTAGCCATTTAATTCAAGAGGGGCCACTCATTTGCTCAAACCCAAGGAAAAATGTAAGCGGTCATATCAGATCAGGAGATGTAGGTGCATGATAATGTGACCAAGAGAATAGCCAATCAGAAAACAAAGCCTGGATTTCAAAACCTCACTTTATAAAAACAAGAAAATTCAAAAATTCTGAATCCAGCTCCGACTCCACAAAAGCAGCAGCAAGCTGCAGGGAAACATCATTCTGGATGCAAAGCCGCGTGCGTCCCTACAGACCCCGGCACACTGGGCTACGTTTGCAGCCAGAATCCTATTTCCTCTGCTGCACCCTACAACTGAAAAAAAATGGGCTCCAAAGAATCACTTTGGGTGCTGGAAGCTGTTTTCTTTTTTTTTTTGCTTTCTTGACGACACCAGAGATTTTAAATCCAGGCTGCATATGCATTCACCTCGGCATACTCCTGATTGGCAGCTCGCGGTCACATGATCAAACACCTCAACATTCCAGGACAGACCAGAGCTGCCTTCCGCCGCTCTTGCTGCCACGTGTTCCACATCCTGACACTTTTCGCCAGAGCATCACTATCGTCAGCAGCAGCAGCACCATCAGGGAAAACACTCTTCGGGATGCAAATGCAGCGCGGTGGTTGCGAGGCCTCAACTTGCAGTGCGCGGTACAGTGTGGTTGTGCGAGTACTCCGTATCCTGTGGTTTGGCCCGGTTAGTGCGAAGACAGTCGCCGTGGAAACCCGAAGACCCACACACCCACCACCACCACCACCACCACCGTCACCACGTGGATCACAGCATCGCCACGGGCATTGCTTTCACCGTCGCTGGGTGCGACTGGCTCCGGTCGTGCTAGCGGAGTCGGCTCACGTGGCAAAGAGGGAGTCCCTTACACAAAGCCTCCCCCCATCATCCCCCCCCCCCATTCCCTCCCGCTACCAACCCCAGCGGGGAGCGATCTCAGATGATGACGACGATGACGATTGCGGTGATAATTTATGTACGTATGTCGAACTTCTTTGGCACCACAAGTAGCCAACCGTGCTCATCGAAGGTGACGACTAGAATCGCGATGATGACGCCGACAGCGATGATCACGATGGAGGCGCTTGACGCCGATTGGCAACTGTGGCGATAATGACGGCAATGGAAACGGAGATGACGACGCGACCGTGAATCTCATGACGATGGTGACCACCCAATGGCTCTCTCACTCGAGACCACAGATGCCCCCCGCCCTCCTCCCTCATGCCACAAGGAGATTTCACCACCGCACGATGACCACAAGGATGACGGTGATGTCAATGATAATAATTAAGATGATCATAACGATGGTGCAAAACAACTCCTGGCTTCTTCCCCGATGGATCTCCAGATAAACATGCCAACGTTGGCCCAACGTTGGCATGGTCGTTGGAACTGCTGGCCCAAATATGGCCGAATGTCGTTCCAACATTTACCGGTCTCCTACACGGGACACCAAACGTTGCTTCCGTCCCATCCACGACCCTTTGCCACGTGACCGCCATCCCGCTAAGACCCCTCTCTCGCAAGGGGGCCAAAGGAAATTTTCGGTGATAAAAAAACCGAAAATTAAATTTGACGCTTACTTATTTTTTGGCATGGCGCAGTCCCGTCACCAAATTCGCCAACACTCTGACTAACAACCTCCCAGTGGGTGGGTTCCCCCGGGAGGGGGAGTGGTGGTGGTGGTGGTTGGGGGGGGGGGGTACAGGGATTCAAACCCAGACCCCGGGCCCTCTGACCGGTGCCCGCACGGTTTCCGCGACGCGGTGGACCCTGCCGAAGCGTGGATGTTAATCGGGGCGGACCTGTACGTCGCCCCCCCTAGCCTCCAACCGCGGCCAAGCGGCCACGCGGTCCGACATGTGCTCGGCGAGCCGGTGGAACCTACCCTCACACGCCTGCGGAACTCTTATCAAAACCTGGCTGTGGGTAAATCGACATCGGCAAGGGGGCTGGAGGGGTGGGGGAGGGGACGGGAGACACGTGGTGATGCTACAAAATATATAAGCGGACAAAGACGTCTTCATTCATTAGCTCTGGTCTCTCGCACGCAGGCGAGATGTTAACTGCCTCGCCTGGTATACAAGAGTTTGTGGGTTTGATCCCGACCATGACGCCCTGCTGTATATTTGGAATTTGCATGTTGTCTGTCCCCGCGTGGTCACGTGGATTTTTCTCCAGGTACCCCGGTTTTTCCCTCCACATTCAGAATCAACGTCACTCGTTTAGAGTATTTGGCTACAACAAATTTCCACGCGATAAGCCACTTGGTTGTGCCATCATTTGTGGCCAGGCTGCTTCAGAAAAATGATCTATACAGCTCAGTGTGGCTTTATACCTGGTAAAATAAAAGGTTTAGTTCAATAGTTTATACAAAAGTATTTCTTACACAACTCAGCGGCACCCCACGGGGGTGCAAGTGTGTGTGTGTGTGCGCCTCATTGTGTGCGTATGCACGCGCACGAGCTTGTACTTGGGAAGTTAGTGTGGCTAGCATACACGTGTGCACACGCGTGTGCATGCTGTGAACACGTACATTTCGAAACCACAAACCTCCGCAACGAGCGGCAACTTGCCGCCCGCGGCCCCGCGCCACCGCCCTCCCGGTCAGCTGTGAACCGTCGCTCCGCGGTAAGGGGGGATTAAGGAAATGGGCAGCCCTTACACGACCGCCAATTGCGGTTACAGGGTCGGCGAATACCGCACGGCGGATGTGTGTTTGCGCCCGTGCGATCACCATACCTGCTGAGGATGAGAGCCATGCCATTGCTGCTCCGGATTGTGTTGTTATTCTGCGATGGAAAAGAAACCACAAAAGACAGGTAAGGAACTTCTTTAAGACAGGCAAGGGACTAAATGATCTCCCACGGGTCAGCCGACGAGGACGTGAAACAAAAAACATCGATGTGCGTCGTTCCACGTTGCTCGTTAAACCCAGACAACCGATGGTCAGGCACAAAGACAAAGATCCCCCGTGTAGCCTTTAACAGACTGTTGGGGCAAGTGCTGTTAGCGAGCACCTATGAAGGCCGACACGGCACACGAGGGAGCGGGTGGCCAGCACCATGCCTGACCGTCTTTGTCTCTCGAGTGGCGATGTTTACACACCGCACCAGGTACTCGTTTTTGAGGCCGAGTCAACTTAGGGGAGGCCGAGGACCGGTCGAGATAACCATCCCTGGTGGAGGACCGTGAGCTGGAATCGAACTCGGGTATCCAGGTTCGTAGCGCAGCGCGCCAACCGCTGCACTACGAGGGTTGTAGTGTCAGGCACACGCGAACACACACCGCAAAGCACCGCAACACCACAACAACCACAACAACCACAACAACCACAACAACAGCGCGACACAGTGACAAGGTTGTTGGCCTATGGCATGATTGCCCCCCCGCCCCGTCAGAGGAGTGTGAGGGAGGGGGGGGGGTCCCAAATGGGGGGGGGGGGGGGGGGGGAGGGTCCCAAATGGGGGGGGGGGTCCCAAATGGGGGGGGGGGGGGAGGGTCCCAAATGTCGTCCCCTGATGCTCGTCGTTCAAGCCGGGAGACAATTTAGACTTTTGGACATTAACCCTATTATTCACTCGTGAGAAAACGACTACGTACTAAAAAAATCGCTACGTCATTATGATTGTTATTATTAACGAAAGCTACACACGGCAACACGAGCGGCCAACACTCCCGTACGGTACCGCCGGGCTGCCAGTAGGAGGCAGTACAGCAAGCAGGTTTCTCCTGGCCTCGTCACGGGACCATTTTTGCCAGCATCAAAAGTATGAAAAAGTTAAGAATACGTTTTTAACCCTTCCTGGCAATAACAACGGTTGCATTAAGATGATCAAACACCAAACGGATTCCGATCACGAGGAATCTGAGCTGCTCGCCTTTGCGCCATTTCGCCTTTTGGCGTCCGCTGGTCCGACACTTGGGAGACTGGCCACAACGAATAAGGCTGCCGACTCAGGTGTAGGCCAACAGTGGCAAAGACAAAGCCATCTCTTACTGTCAGAGCACGTCGGTTGGCATGTTTACCACAAGTACCGTGGCGTGGTTTAACGCAGACTTGATTCCTTGCAAAATGTATCTATTTGGTGCTTGAACATTGTAACACAACCGCTTCATTGCCAGAAAGGATAAAACCGATTGTTATTTTTTATGCCTCGGCTTAGTTATGCGTCATGTTCCTTGTTAAGTTGAGGGTTCGTCGACCGTTGCCAAGGCCATAGGGGGTGCGCGTACGGCTGGCGCCGGGGTCTTGCTTGGTGAGCGAGGTTGGGGGCTTTGCGCACGGCCAGACCCGGACTGGCCATAGGGCACGGGCAGTTCACAGGGCAAATGCCCGGTGGGCCGGTCCATTCCTAGGGATGGTGCGCCGGTCTGTGTGGGGAAATTGCACGTGCGGTCAGAGCTTTTTTTTGTTATTACCTCGAATGTGTACGCTTCATTGTCACCTTCCGTGTGACGGAGCGGGCCCGGCACGAACCGGTCCACGTGCCCCAATCCTAACAACCCCCCCCCCCCCCCCCCCCCCGGTGTGGCTCAAGGCGACCCCGTAACACGCGGGGTCGCCACCAACAGCCAACGCAGACCAGATCCGCATCTCCGTGTTAAATGGAGCGACGGTGGGGGGGGGGGGGGTCGAAGGTCGTAGACATTGCACATGACGGCAAAGGATGCGCCGTGGGATAAGTGGCACGTGGCTATGGACTCTCTCCCACCCCTTCCCCTCACCATTGCACGGCGGGTCTCAGTCGGCACAGCGTCCGCGCGAGGCCGTTCCCCCGCCAAAGGTAGCTTGCCGCTGCTCTCCATTGCCGGCCACAGGCTTAGCGGTGGAAATTCCACATTACCATGGAGGGGTGATCCGGACTATCTGCAGAACGGCCACCGATCAACGGAGCTAATTATTAGTCCGAAAGAACCGCTATCCCTGACCTTAAGTTATGACCCCAACTTTAAAAGTTCGTTCGTAACATTGGCTCTGACTGTCACCTGAGCATTAGCCTCAGTGTTAACCCAAGGCCTACGATGCACAGTTATAACCCGCAGATTTAAAATCACCGGAACCCAAACTCTACCCATAAACCCCAACCCACAAGCCTTAGCTCTCAGCCTAACCCCAACTCTAACCATAACCGTAGAACCTAACCGGAGCTCTGGCTCTGATCATCGCTCTAAGCCTTCAACTCCCCTACTAGAACCCTGACCATAACCCCCTAACTCTGCCTCTAAAGTTCCCCAAGCCTACCCCGAGCTGAAATCATAGCCCTGGCTCTAAACAGTTGCAGTAACTAGCGTGGGGGCAGGAGGTTCGTTGCCCCCCCCCGCCCCCCCTCCCACCCCGGTGGCCAAAGCTACGAGTTGGGGGGCCCCCCTTGGCAACCACCATGGGGTATGTTTCCAACAACATTGTAAAAGAACAAAACACTTGCGTAATGATCTGATTAGGCAAGATCAGCGGCAACATGTAATAGCCGAGGTGCGACCTTGCGAGACAAATCAAATATTGGGGTCCCAACCTGACCGATTGCGACAGCTGATGATGTCGTTACGACGCCACTGGCCGTACCCAGTCTATACCACACTGCTTACGATAACGAGGCATTACGGTAAGCAGGGCACTCCGATTCGGTATCGGTGAAACACGATTCAGGACGGAACTGGACCGTGATCTCACCACCCCAGCCTCCACAGAGGAGCCAGCACTGTTCCGGCGCAGCACGGCACTCCGGAGGGCACGCCACACAACACGCAAGGATCCCCCGTACAGCCTACACCGGCTGTACACAGGCTGTACACAGGCTGTATGAGGGCAAGTGCGGTGAGTGGACACCTATGAAACGCATGCAGGCACAAAGACGCGCACGCACGCACAAAGACGCGCACGCACGCATGCTGGTCTACATCCAGTCGAGGATCGTGCAACACACGGCAGGCATCGTCAATAACCACCGCATGCTCGTGAGCAAAGGGTTCACACGAGACACTGCAGGCGAGACATAGGACATGGGACATGGGAAACTGCAGACGGGACACTGCACATGGGACACAAGACACTGCAAACGCACACAGGACACTGCAAGCAGGACACTGCACATACACACGGGACACTGCAAGTGGGACACGGGACACTGCACAAGGGACACTGCACAAGGGAAGTAAGAGTTCCAATCATGAATTGTTTTTGCCAAAGCGCCCGCAGAAGACGACAGCAGTGGCGAGTGTGCAGCTGCAGGAGCAGCAGCAGCAGGAGGCACGGCGGGCACGTGGGGTGCCACACGTGGGCTGCGTGTGGCTGTGTGTGGCTGTGGGTGACTGTGTGTGGCTGTGTGTGGCTGTGTGTGTGGCTGTGTGTGTGGCTGTGTGTGTGGCTGTGTGCGTGACTGTGTGTGGCTGTGCGTGTGACTGTGTGGCTGCGTGTGGCTGTGCGTGACTGTGCGTGACTGTGCATGACTGTGCATGACTGTGCATGTGGCTGTGCGTGACTGTGCGTGTGGCAGTGCATGGCGAGTGTTTACTGGGAGCCGCGAGCGAGCGCGGCGGTGACGCTAAGTGCTGGAATCCTCCCGCAGCCACCAGAACGCCGGGGCGCAAACCAGCGCCGAGGTGAACGAGATGAACGACATCGGCTGTCCGCACCGGAGGGGTTCACGCGCGCGTACGGGCGCGCGCGTGTGCATGGGGATGTGTGCGTACGGACGTGTACGAGAATGGGTGTGCATGCAAGCGTGTGTGTGGAAAGTGAGGTTAGTGTGTATGTATGTATGTATGGTGCAGCGTGTGTGTGCGCGCGTATTGTGGGGTTAGCGTGTATGTATGGTGCAGCGTGTGGATCGTGGGGTTAGCGTGTATGTATGGTGCAGCGTGTGTGCGTGTGTGTGTGTGCATCGTGGGGTTAGCGTGTATGTATGGCGCAGTGCGTGCGTGCGTGCGTGCGCGTGTGTGTGCATCGTGGGGTTAGCGTGTATGTATGGCGCAGTGCGTGCGTGCGTCCACACGATTCCCAGCGAGGGCGTGGAGGGGAAGCGGGGATGGGGAGGCAGCACAAGCAGGAAGCAGCCACAACACGGAGACGTAAACAATCGACAAAACACAAACGGAACAAAGCACGGGCGGCTACCTTCAATTTTCGGCAGAAATAACCAAATCAAGGTCGCCCAGAGCTCCAGACACACCCAGCTAGCTTGCCCACCAACTCAACAATTCACTCGCCCACCGACTCAGCAATTCACTCACTCATTCACCGAGTCACTCACTCGCCCACCAACTCAACAATTCACTCGCCCACCGACTCAGCAATGCGCTCGCTCATTCACCGAGTCACTCACTGGCCCGCCGATTTAGAACACCCCACTCTCCCACTCATGCCGCACCTACTCACTTACTAAACCACTACTCAACTCGTGCGTTCATTTTAACACCAACTCAACTTACCATCTACCCAATGGCTCGCACACCCACTCACCAAATCGTTTAACCACTCACTCACCCATGCGCTCAAGTCACTAAACCACTCAATGAATAAAATTATCCTTCTCATGCACTCGATCGCTCACTCAAAATGCATTCACCCACTCTAACAATATGATAGTGGCCGGGTGACTCAGGGGGGGTGCACAGTGGCCATAGCAACGACGACACCGGCACGGCTCAGATCCTGCGTTCAAACCAAGATTTCAGTCACCTTATGACTAACCTGGGTTCTCCACTGGAGAGTGTAGATGGGTCTCAATCCAGTGGCACAAAGACAAAGATGCCCTGTATAGCCTGAACAGGCTGTTGGGGAAAGTGCTGTTAGCGAGCACCTATGAAGGCCGGTACGGCACACGAGGGGGTGGGTGGCCAGCACCACACCCGACCGCCTTTGTCTCCCCGGCGGTGATCTCGACACACCGCACCAGCATCTCAAGTCAACCTCGGAGAGGCCCAGTACTCAAGTCAACCTCGGAGAGGCCCAGTACTGGTTCAAGATAATCACCGACGACCATGAGTGGGAATCCATAGTACAGCACGATAACCGATAAAGCCTTAACAGACTTTTGAGGCAAGTGCTGTTAAGCGAGCACCTATGACGGCGGGCACAGCACATGAGGTGGTAGGTGGCCTTCGTCTCCCCAGTGGCGATGTTTACACACCGCATCAGGTACTCATTTGAGGCCGAGTTAACCAAGGGGAGGCCGAAGACCGGTTCGATAGTCATCACTGGGTGTTGGCCGTGAGCGGGAATCGAACTCGGGTCGCCGGTGCAGCGTGCAAACCTCTACAAGCGCCGTTAGCGAGGAACGCCATACAAACACACACACAAAGATAAAGACAAAGATCCCCCGTATAGCCTTAACAGACTGTAGGGGCAAGTGCTGTTAGCGAGCACCTATGAAGGCCGGAACGGTACACGAGGGGGTGGGTGGCCAGCACCACGCCCGACCGCCTTTGTCTCCCCAGTGGCGATGTTTACACACCGCACTGGGTACTCATTTCAGGCTGAGTCGACCTAGAGGAGGCCCAGGACCGGTTCAGATAATCGTTACTGGCGGTGTTGGCCATGAGCGGGAATCGAACCTGGGTCGCCAGGTTCATAGCGCAGCGCGCTGACCGCTGCATTACCGCTCCCCACACACACACGTACGGACACGCGCACACACACGCATGTACGCACGCAACACCCACACGCGAACGCAACTCCCACCTGCCCGTAGTCGGGAGTCGGGGGCTGGGAGATGTGCATGGGGGGCGGAGGGAGGGCGGCCCTCCCGTCCGGGTGCGAGTACACCGAGTCGTAGTCGGGGGGCGGCAGCACGATGCCCGCCCCACCCCCCTCCTTCTCCAGCAGATTCCCCATGCTCACGCTGCGCACCAGGCGAGAGCTGGGGGGCACGGGGGTGTTGGGGGAGGCGGGGGGGGGGCATGCAAGGGGTACGGGCGGGGAGCATGCGGGGGGGGGGCATGGGGGGGCACGGGCGGCATGCGGGGTGGGAACGTGCGAGGGATGTTGGGGGGGCACAGGAGGCATGTGGGGGATACGGGGGGGGGGTCCCGAGGGGGTTATTGTGGGGGGGGAGGGGGCACAGCCGGCATGCAGGTGCAGGGGGGGGGGCGCAAGGGAGCGATGTCAGCAGGGGGTGGGAGAGCAAGACCACCCCCCTTCACCCAGGATCCACCCCCCACTTCCCCTAAGCCCAAGGGGATCTCGCTCAGGGTGCCGATTCATAATGTTCACAATGGGCGTGTCGGACACACACAGAGCCGGCCGGGCACTGCTGGGACACGTGAGTCTCCACTGCTCGTGATGGCGATGAGCAGCAGCAGCACGAGAGCCGGTGGCTCGCTCGAGGAGAGGCTCGCGACAATTTTTTGGCAGAGTTTGGCGAAATTCCAGCTCTCCGAGAATCTACACAATCGGTTTGACGGGCGCGCCGCGAACACGCTCGGCGCCGAGCGGCGCAGGCGACGCCGTCCCCGACTCGGGGCGGACCGGACCGGTCTCGCCGCAGTGCGGTCACCCGGTGAGTCACACCTTGCACCGCCGCGTGCTCTTCGCACGAGGCGGTGTGCCCCGCTTAGCTGCGACGGTTCCGAACGGAGACCGGCTCGTGGAAGCCCGACGAAGGCTGCGATCAACTTCCTTCTCCTCGGCTTCCCCCCCCCCCTCGTCCACCCCAGCCATCAGTGCTGTCGACTTCCTGCCACCGTTCAAATCCAGGCTCAGCAGCCACCTCCTCTTTTCTGCTTGTGACCTGACTGCCCCCTCTCTCATATACTCGACCAGAGACCCATGGACTCGCAGAGACCTATGACCGTCTGTGTGTCTCTTTCCCACACTCGCATGAAGAGCCGCAGACGAGCATAGAGATCTACAAACGACTGCCTGTGTCTCGCTCCCCCCGAAAAATGAGGACAGCCGCGGCCATCTTGAGATGCGGTTCAATTCGGACGTGTAAATTTACGCTCGTTCAAATCGGTTACCGCTAAACGGGATGAAAAAGAAACCGGTAAAAACCGGTTAAGCCACAGGTAGAAATGAAAATGTCTGACGGGACCAAATCCCCCCTTCGTGACCTCCCTCCAGCAATGGTGCCAGCGAGCGAGCGAGCGAGCGAGCAAGCGAGCAAGCGAGCGGTTGCGGGGCTGCGCCTGTGCCACGTTTCACTGAGAAACGAGGGCGCGTCGTCGCAAGCACATGGTGATGTTTGTACGCCCTCGCACGCGCGCGTGTATCTGTGTGTGTGCGCGCGCCAATGGGCCCCCCCATTCGTCACCGAAATCCCAGCGGAATCGGTCACCGGATTTGGATCCGGACGTTCCGAGCTGGCGGCCGATTCTGACAACCGTCCAGCGGTCGCCCGGCCGTCATCTAACGGCCGTCGTGCAGAGACCCACGTGGCGCCGCGTCCGGATATCGCGCCGCAGGCTCCAAGCCGCCCCCCTCACCTCTGCTTGTCGTCGTCCGTAGAGCTCTCCATGGCGCGAGTGTACGAGTAGGGGAACCAGCCCTTCCTGCAGAGTCACGGGGGGAGGGGACACAGAGATAGAGAGACATGGGGGGGGGGGTGACACACAGGGAGAAACAGAGACACAGGGAAACAGCGAGACACGAGTAGACGGGGACATGGAGAGACGCAGAGAACAGAAACACGGGGAGACGCACGTTAGCGGTGCTGGCCAACAACACTCCAGGAGACGCTACCCCACGCTGCCTCTGTCACCGTCATGACTCACCAGCCCATCCCCAACCACTCACCCAGATCTCCCTGTCTACTGGGCCTCCCTCGAGGTTGACTCGGCCTTGAACGAGTAACTCGTGCGGTGCGTGGCACACCAACACTGGGGAGAACAAAGGCGGCCAGGCCACAATGCTGCAGGCCTTCATCCGTGCGCGCTCGCTCACGGCACTTGCCCCAGCAGTCTGCAGAGGCTATATGGGTTAACTTTGTCTTTTGCACACGAGCCTGTGACGCGCATGTGTGTGTGTGTGCGCGTGGTGCTGTTTGTGAACGTTACTAGGGAGAGGGCGACCCTGAGATAAACCCACAACCACCGCGCCACTCACACAGCCTCCAGCGCAAGGTGTGGCGCCTGTGTGTGTGTCTGTGTACAGGTATGTGAACGTTTGTGTGTGCGTGCGTTTGTGCCTGTGAGCGGGGAGCAGTGGTGCAGTGGTTAGCGCGCTGCGCTACGAACCCGGCGACCAGAGTTCGATTCCCACTCGCGGCCAACGTCAACGACAAATACCTGCACCCAGTACCGGGCCTCCGCTAGGTCGACTCGGCCTCAAATGAGTACCTAGTAACGAGCATAAACATCGCCACTAGAGGCACAAAAGTGGTTGGGCACGGTCATTTATTGGTGATGCTCACTAACAGCACTTGCCACGGACTGCCTTGATGAGGCTGCACGGGAGATTTTTGTCCAAATCTATCTCCAAACTTTGAAGAACCCCCAACACACATTGCCCACCACCCCCCAAAACAATAATCTCATTGCCAAGCAATAAGCCACGGTGTAGCCACAGAAACCCGATTGCAAAGCCACAGCCAACCATGGCACAACAATTTGATGCAGATTACGGGTCCAACAGACACAATGCTCATCACGGTCTGGCACTGATGGTTTTTGGGCACGTGCTTCAGTTGCAACGCCGGCGTTCAGTTAGCGTTCGTTCATTCATCATTTGGTGATTAAGAGGCCGTCAGGCCCGGCGACGCTGTCATTCGGCCGGCCGCTTGACTTAGAACGCATGTGTTTTCAAGTCCAAGTCAGGGTTCGGCTCGGCCCATCATCATCATCATAATAGTTATTCCACTAGGGCAGATAAATTAGGTAGAGCGGCCACTTTGTGCGTATGTATGTGTTCGTGTGTGTATGTCTGTGCATGTGTGTGTATGCGTGTGCGCTGCGCTGCGATCCCGGCCTCCACGAGGTCAACTCAGCCTCAAAATGGGGACCTGGAGCGGAGTCTAGTAAACATCGCCACTGGGGAGACAAAGGCGGCCGGGCGTGGCGTCGGCCACCCACCCCCTTCGTGTGTCGTGGCGACCTTCATAGGTGCTACTCGCTAACAGCACTTGCCCCGACGGCCTGCCAAGGCTACACGGGGGGACTTTGCATTTGTGCATGCGTGTGCGCGTGCATGCGTCTCTCACTGCGCCGTGCGCTCGTTGACGCCGTAGTGCCAGCCGTCGCGCGCCGCGGGCACCAGCAGCGCGATGCCGTCGCCCGCTTGGAACGAGAGCAGCGACGCGTCGCCCCGGGAGTCGTGCGCAAACGCCGCCACCACGCGCGGACGCTGCCCCGGCGCCGCCGTCACGCGGTTCAGCCCCGTCGACATCGACGTCGTGCGCGGGAACGGACCCGACGACGGGTCTGCTGGGGAGGGGGGGGCAGCAGGGAAGGGGGGATAGAAGTGGGCAGAAATGGATACGTGGTTGGAAGAGGGATGTTTGAATGCGGGCATGAAGGACTCAATGGAAGGGAGATGCAGGAATTAATTCATGGAGGGATAAATGAATGAATGTGAGGAGGGCAGGGGGAAAGTGGAGTGATGAATGAATAGAGGATGAATGAAATGAATGGAAGGAAAGAAGGGGGAAGAGAATTCAAGGAGGAGATGAAAGAATGGAGCGAGTCGAAAGAAAGAAGGGGTGAGTGAATTGGAGGCAGCGAGGAAGGAATAAACAGGCGGGAGGGGTGCAAGCAACAAGTGAGATGGGCGTCAGTGGGGAAGGGAAGGATTCAGAGGGAGGGAGGGAGGGAAGGATTCAGAGGGAGGGAGGGAGGGAAGGATTCAGAGGGAGGGAGGATATTTTAATGAGTCTTGAGTTACGAGGGCTCCACTGTGAGCTGATAATTAAACACGTTATTGACACAGGCCACAGGGAGGGGCTCAGAGCTGCTCTCCTTATTAATTTTTATTTGTGTGTATTTTTAAGCCGATTAGATGTACCCACTTACACACACAGCGCACCGACACACCAACCGACTCAACCACTCGCTTCACCCACCAACCCACTCAGTAACCCACAAACCCACCTCACTCACCACTTGGTAAACCACCAAACTGCTCACTCACTCAGTAACCCACAAACCCACCTCACTCACCACTTGGTAAACCACCAAACTGCTCACTCACTCAGTAACCCAAGCACTCACCCACACCCAACCACTTGCCCACGGCACTTACTCACCCACTCACAAATGCAGTCACAGAACCACTCAGTCATTCAGGAAACAAAGCACTCGCCAAACAATCCACGCGCCCACTCGCTCACTCGCTCACACAACCACCCCAGTAAGTATTCACTCACTCACTCACCAACCCACCCATTCACAAACTCACCCAAACTCACCACCCAACCACAGCACAGACGACAACTTTCATCTTCAGCAGAAGTAACCGCCTCAAGGTCAATCAAAGCTTCACTATCCCACCAAGCTCACTCGCTCGCTCAACTCACCCACTCTCCCCCACCTCCTCCCCACTCCCCACCCCTCCTCACCAGTGGTGAGCACGCTGGGGCGCTCAGTGATGTTCTTGCGTGACGGGAGAGTGTTGGCGTAGAAGTCGGGCGGCGGTTTGCTGAGCGGCGAGCGGGGTTTTTGCTCCGTGCCGTAGAATCCACCGTCGCCGCCGAATGGCGCCGGACCGCCCGGCCCGTCCAGTTTCAGCGGCTCCAGCTTCATCTGACGCGGCACAGGCGGGAGGACGATGACTGTCGGGGCGAGTGCTGGTCACGAGTGGGAATCGAACTCGGGTCGCCGGGTTCATCGCGCAGCGCGCTAACCACGACGCTTCCGTTCGACTACACTCACCTCACACTACGCAACAACAACAACAACCGCCGTTCGGCACTCCACGGCGCTTGTGCCAGGATAGGTGAACTTTGAGGCTGTCACGCGAAGTGTCAATGGCTCACTGATGGCAGGATGCCTTGCTCACCACGCTCGCTCACCACCCTCTTACACCACCCTCTTACACCACGCTCGCTCACCACGCACGCTCACCAACCTCTTACACCACGCTCGCCCACCACCCTCTTACACCACACTCGCCCACCACGCTCGCTCACCACCCTCTTACACCACGCTCGCCCACCACCCTCACGCTCACCACCCTCTTACACCACACTCACTCACCACGCACGCGCCTCCCCACCTCATGCTGCGATCGGCCGATGCCCTTGAGCGCCGCGAGCTCGGGGGGGATGTGCAGGGTGTTCTGCGTGGGCACGGGGTTGGAGATGTAGTCGTTGCCGCCGCCGCCACCGCCACCGCCGAGGCCGCCGGCGCGCAGGGCGCTGGCGTCCAGCGCGGAGACGGGCGCCAGCGCCGCGTCGGGGATCAGCATCACGTCGCTGCCCACCTCCAGCCACATCGGCAGCTTCTGCGAGATCAGATCGGACGCCTGTGCCGCGGGGAGACGGGGACACGGGGCACACGTTGGCACGGAGACACGTTGGCACGGAGACACGTGGACACGAGGGGATTAAGGGGCAAGGGGGGACGAAGAGGTGGTATCAGCACAGGCACACCGTCACGATGTGCCTGTGCAGAATGTTCTGGTGAGATGGAGAGAGTCATTGCGAGGAGAGGCACACCATGATGTCAAGGGGAGACGCACAGCAGTGAGTGCAAGGGAGTGTAGATACCATGTACTGTGCTGGCCTCCGTGAGGTGCTATCGAACAGCGCTCGCCCCAACAGTCTGTTAAGGCTATACGGGGGGGGGGGGGGGCGATCTTTGTCTTTGCGTGTGGATAAGGAAGTGGATGGCTGTGCGAATGAGTCAAGTCGGTGAGTGTGCAAATAACCGAATAGGTGAATCATTGAATGCATGTGGGGAAATCATTGAATGAAGCAGTGACCGAATGCTCAAATGACCGAGTGAAACAGGTGACCGAGTGAATGAACAAGCGAATGAGCGGGCAAGCGAACACACGAGCGAGCCAACGGGCGTGAGAAACGAATGAAAGACCGAACGAGCCGAGCGGGCACCTTGCTGTGGTAGGTGCTGAGCGCTTGTGCCATGAGGCACTGGCGCTCGATGAAGTAGCAGTAGCGGCGCCGCTCCTCCAGCAGCACGGAGCGGTAGCCGTCCGCCACGAGACTGTTGACCTCCTGCTGCTTTGCCGCCACCAGGTCCGCCACCTGCACGCAAAGGCAAAGGTTGCCCCGCTTTGGTGCCATCGCTCGAAGTGGCGAAGGCTCGCCGCCCGCAGGTCAACGGGACAGACCCACGTGCCATGGGGGTTGACCAACTGAGACGACTGGCAGATGGCACCACCTGTGCTCCCCACCGTGCCAACTCGCTGCGTCCGAGCCGCCCGGCGCTTCGCTCGTTGCTGCGAGCGTCACTCCTCCGCCCTCCGCCTTTGCTGAAAGCTAATTTCTTAATAACTGCTTTTTGTGTTTAGTTTGTTGTCACTCCCCTCTCCCGCACCTCCGATTAGCACGGTTGACTACGTACGATGCGAAAGAAGTTCAACATACATAGAACCACCCAGTAGCATCCTTCACGAGCCTCCTCCAAGGAGGCCAATCTTGACACCGCCGGTAGCAGTCATTGGCAAGTCCCATCTCTTTTCGAGCCAGCGCCACGTTGGCGCGAGAACGCACGCTCAGGCGTGCCCGCCCGTCCACGTGGCTCCTTGTCTCAGCCCCGGGCACACAAAGACTGGATTAGCGCGCCCCCATTGCCGGCGAGTAGGAGGCGGCGACGGCACCGCAGGGAAATATTTAGCGTTGGAAAGCGATCGGCGATTGCCGAGACAATAAAATGGCGACACAGCGCACCCCACTGGCACGCCCCAGCCAGGAGCGGGGGGGGGGGTTCCTCCAGCGATACCAGATTAAACACGCTCGCTACGTGCCGGCATCGAGGATTACGAGTAAGAAATAAATGGATTAAAAAGAAAATTCTAAAGGAGAGTCCCGTCATTGTCGCGTACAGAGATGTATATCCGGAGTCACAGCCACGGATTGCTCAGGCAGCCTGCGGGCACGTTTCTTAAACCGCCCCCCCAACTACCTGCCCCCTCCCCCCCGCCTCTGTCCACCTGCCAATTGAAACGGGTTCACCGCGGTGAAGTCGACCGGAGGTTGCCACGTGTGCGGTGCGGTAAATCATGGGTTACTCACCCCCCCCCCCCCCGCCTCTTCCAAAACGTCAGGCCAGCATGGAAGAGTAGGCCAAAAATTCCCTCTAGGGAGGAGGAAGCTTTGCTCCAGGTTCCGCCTAGCCGGGAGGCACCTTCCGCCACTGTGGCAAGGCGTTAACCATCTCGCTTGGTATGTAGGTGGTCATGGGTTCGATCCCAACCCTGACACCTGCTGCTGTATATTTGGAGTTTGCGATGTCTCTCGCTCTCTCTCTCCCCGTGGTCGCGCGGATTTTTCTCCAGGTCCTCCAGTTTGTTTCCCTCCACATTTCGAACCAACGTCACGCGTTTGGATTGTTTGGCTGCTATAAATTTCCACGTGATGAGAAGCCATTTCGTTGAGCTATCTTGTGCGGCCGGGTCTCCTCTGAAAAAGAGCTACGTAGCTCAGTGCGCCTTACCTGGGTAAAATAAAAAAAATAGTTCATAGTTTTAGTCCAGTGGGGCGGGGGGTGAGAGCAAGCGAATTGCAGGGATGTGCCTTTATCGTTAGCACTGAGCGTGGAGAGCTCCACCCACGGATTCTCTCCACCCCCCCCCCCCCACGGATTCCCTGCCCATAAAGGAACGTTTGTTTTTCACGGCGAGACAAACACTCGCTGCCCACATCATCGCTAGTGTCAAACAGCGAACCCTGAATCATCGTCACCACCACCACCACCGCGAGCTCGTACGGGGGCGAATTCGTCACCTCCACACGGACAATAAAACTTCAAGGGGTTTGTCCGTACGGCCAAACAACACTTAACCACCGTCATTCAGAAAACACACCCACGGTGTCTCAAGCACAGTCCCCTGTGCATAAGCACTTTGCAAAGGGTGGAACTCCAACACGGGTCACATGCCCTCCCCCCCCCCACTGTCCCTCACCCTCCATTCCTCCCCCCCTCCTTTGAACTGACAAAGGTGCAGCAGATTACAAGATTACCCAACTCACTTTGGGTTTCAAGGGGGGGATTACAAGACTCGTTCGTTTCTGCACTTCTCGCCAATGTCAACCGTTGCTACTTGCATCACACCATTATTGTGAAGCCCGCACGCATGGGGCTACTGGCGGTCCCCTGCTGGCCTGTAGTGTGCCCCCCCCCCCAACAACAACAATACTAACCCCATTGTCGTGCTGTCAATGATGGCAGTGATTACGATGATTAATACCGATAATAATGATGATGATGACAACGATTATGAAGATGATCAGTCTCATGGCGATGATGGTGACAATGATAATATAGTTGATGACAACGGTGATCAGTGATTGGGGCTGATCAACATCCCTGTTCACAGGCAGTCTTCCGACTCAGTGAAGCTTACCTGGCTATAATAAAAGCCATTGCTATCGGACGACGATTATGGTTTCAAACGTGTGGCGGCCCTCACACACCGGTGATGTCTCATCGGGTGAAAGTGCTCCCCCTCTGAAGAACGACTGCCGTGGGTAAAAGGGCTGGTGGTAAAGGCGCGGCCCCCGCATTTGCCTGGCTCTCGTCCCTGCTGCTAGAAGGCCCTCCCCCACTGGAGCGAGCGCCCATCTTGAGCGCCGCGTCCATCGCGAGATAACGGGGAAAAAAATTACTTCGGACATCCGCAGCTAGCGGCGCACCACCCTGTGCGCACTAGACGATGTCGCAGGATCGCGCCTCGTGCGCGGCCACTTCAACCACTCCGGGTACACACCTTTAACGTCGTCATCGTCATCATCATTAAATCATCATGCAGACTCCGGTCATCCTCGCAGCGGCTTTTGGCTAGCCATCGAAACAAAGTCGGTCACCGCATCGCACGCGTTCAAATGTGCTTCTGCAGCCGTCTGGAACACTCCTTCATTCCGATATAGGGAATCATCTAGATTGAAAACTCATTTCTTTAGAACTGTTTTTGTGTTTAGTTTGTTGTCCTTCCCCCGCACCTCCGATTAGCGCGGTTGGCTACATACGGTATGAAAGACTTTTAACGATATGCATCATCATCATCTTCGCCGTGATCTATCCACTGCTGAATCAAGGCCTCAACCAGCAGTGGAATCTTGACTACTACTGCTACCGCTGCTGCTACTGTCCGTCTCCCTGCCAGCTCACAACCCACGCGAGCAGCAGCAGCAGCAGCAGCGTGAAGCCGTGGGCTGTGGAGGCTCGGGCCTGACACTCGATTAATAATTCAACTGAACTCGCCCCCAGCCTTCTTGCCCCCCCCCCCGCCCACCCCTCCCACACCCGCCCCGTACCCCTCCCTGCCAGTCCCTCCCACACTGCCCACCGACCCAGCCCCTTTCAGTCAGGGGTAGAGGAAACACACCTTGTCGGACACCAACAGTGGTCGTCCTAACAAGTAAGGAGACACGAGGCGCGTCTAGGTTCATTAACAATCTCAAAATCAATAAAAAGACAAATTTGTATCACGCGGTCGATTACTGGGGCCCCGATAAGACACGGCAGCCGCATCCCCATCCTGTCGCCACGAAGGCGGGAAAGCCCCCCCCCCCAAACCCCCCCCACCCCCCCTCCAAACCTCCCTCCCCCCCAGCTACTAGTCACGAGGTTGCCGACTACACCAGATGACGTCACAAAACCCTGCCCGTCACCTCCCGTCCAGCGGCACACGTGGGAGGAGAGAAGTTTTCAAATAAATAAAAATCTCCCAACTCTTCTCGTGTTATCCGATTATTCGGATAATCAGTCCAGTCCTGCATCTCTATGTAAAAATCAGCTCAAGCCTCCGGTAAACCACGTGACTTGTGTGTGATCACGCCCACTCGGAATCGCTCTCCTCTCCTCCGCGCAAGTTCACGTCCACTCGCTCTCCCTTCCTCCTCTCTTCTCCCTCTCGTCACCCCCCCATCATCCCCTACACCTCGGCCCGGTCATTCCTTCTCCCCCTCCCGTTTCCTGCCCGGCACTCCTTCCTTCTTCCTGCTGCTCATCTTGAGCCGCGCCCTCTTTGTCAGTCTTGGGCGCCACGGTGGCGAGATGTTAACTCCCTCGCCTGGTATAGATGAGGTCGTGGGCTCCATCGTGACCCCGACACCACCAATGAATTTGGGGAGTGCGTGTCTCTCTATGTGGTAGAGTGGATTTTTTCTCCGGGTCCTCCCATTCTTCCTATCCCCATTTAGAATCATCACGCGTTCAGGGTTTTTGGCTGCTGTGCATTGCCGCGCGATAAGCCGCTTCGTTGAGCTATCATTTGTGATGACCGGGTCGCTTCTGAAAAAGAGCCATGCAGCTCAGCGAGGCCTTACCTGGTTGGTAACAAACAGGGGACTCCTGTCCCGGCATCCCTTCCCCATTCCTTTCTCCGTTTCCCATTCATAGCATCCTTGACGCTGCTCCCCCTTCCCCATGGCCGGGCCACTTGAAAGAAGTTTTCATCAAATATGGGGATTATAGCCCGTGGGGTGAGGGGTCAGGAAGAGGGTGGGGGTCGTTCGCTCGCTGGCTCCTCCGGCCCCCGCTCACCTGCGCCTCCTTCTCGTTGTACTTGCTCGGGTTCTTGGAGCCCTGGCTCTTCCTGCGCAGCTTCTTCAGCTCCGTCGTGTTCCTGTCGAGGACGTCACACTTCGCCTTGTGCTCCCCCTGGTACTTGCGCAGGGCCGACTGCAGGGCGAGAGGGAGCGGGTGAGGGGCACGCGGGTGGAAGAGCGACGAGTGGGCGAGCGTTGGAACGGATGGGCGAATGGTCGAGCGAGTGCGCGAGCGTATGAAAAGCTGGGTGAGCAATTAAGTGATCAACAGCGGGGAGATAACCAGGTGGATGAGCGAGTGAGTGGATGGGGAGCGGTGGGGAGCAGTGGGGAACCCTGCACTACAAACCCATCTACACGAGTTAGATTCCTGCTCACAGCCAACACCAGTGGCGATTATCTGAATCGGTTCTGTGCCTCCCCGAGGTCGACTCAGCCTCAAAGGAGTACCTGATGTGGTGTGTAAACATCGCCACTGGGGAGACAAAGGTGGCCGAGCGTGGTGCTGGCCACCCACCGACTCTTGTGCCGTGCTCGCTAACAGCACTTGGCCCAACAGTCTATTAATGTGAAACGGGGATCTTTGTCTTTCGGCGTGAGCGCACGACTAACAGAAATATTGCGAGTGACCAGGCAAGCAGTTTGGGGAAACATTCGATTAGGTGTGCGAGCGAGTGGCTGAAGGAAATAACTGGGGAGGGAGCGAGCGAGTCGGTGAGCGAACACATTGGTAAGTTGGCGATCAGGAGGGCGAGTGGGTGGGCGGGCAAACGGTGCGAGGGCGAGCTGGGAAGCCAAGTGAACGGCTGAACGGGTGAACATGCGAGCAGGTGGGTCACGAGGTAACGGGAGGTCGTAAGGGCCATACTGACCGGCAGAAACTTGATGTCAGACTCGAGCTTCTGCTCCATGTCGGAGAGAATGTCTGTCCGGAATGACTTGAGCTGGACAAAACAACCAGATCATCATCACCACCGACACCATCGTCAACATTGTCAACGTCATCGTTACCATAATCACCACCGACACCATCGTCAACATCATCAATGTCATCATTACCATAATCACCACCGACACCATCGTTAACATTGTCAACGTCATCGTTACCATAATCACCACCGACACCATCGTCAACATTGTCAACGTCATCGTTACCATAATCACCACCGACACCATCGTTAACATTGTCAACGTCATCGTTACCATAATCACCACCGACACCATCGTCAACATTGTCAATGTCATCGTTACCATAATCACCACCGACACCATCGTCAACATTGTCAATGTCATCGTTACCATAATCATGGTCATCGTCTTGTCATGGTCATCGTCCGATAGCAATGGTTTTTATTATAGCCAGGTAAGCTTCACCAAGTCCTAAGACTCCTTGTGAACTGGGATGTTGATCAGCCCCAATCATTGATCACCGTTGTCATCAGCTATATTATCATTGTTACCACCATCGCCATGAGACTGATAATCTTTACAATCGTTGTCATCATCATCATTATCGGTATTAATCATCGTAATCACTGCCATCATCCTAAATCAACTACTGGCATAATTCATCTCGATCACTATCACAATCGGTCATCATTGACATTAACGCTGCTTGCTGTATGTATGTTGAACTTTCTTTCGCACTGTACGTAGCCAACCGTCGTGCGAATCGGAGGCGAGGGGAAAGTACACGAAGCTCAACGAAACTCAACACATTGTCATCGTCTCATAGCAAGGGGCGTCTAGACAGCCCAACTGGGGTCATACACTCAGGAGGAAGCAAATAGATCGTTTCCTTTTCCCCTTTCGCCCAGGATCTCCCCAGGATTTTCCCAGATCTCCCCAGGATTTTCCCAGGATCTCCCCAGGATCTCCCCAGGATTTTCCCAGGATCTCCCCAGGATTTTCCCAGATCTCCCCAGGATCTCCCCAGGATTTTCCCAGGATCTCCCCAGGATTTTCCCAGATCTCCCCAGAATTTTCCCAGGATCTCCCCAGGATTTTCCCAGATCTCCCCAGGATTTTCCCAGATCTCCCCAGGATTTTCCCAGATCTCCCCAGGATTTTCCCAGATCTCCTCAGGATTTTCCCAGATCTCTCTTTCTCACCGTTTCCTCCAACAAATGCAGGATATGCTTGTGAGTCAATGCCATCTGCGTGATCGTGTCGCCTGCGGAGAAGAAATGTCAACACGGGGGGGGGAAGGGGGTTACAATCATCCCACAGCCACAGCTGCAGTTGCTCCACTCGCCACGGTTCTCGTGCCAGGCTAGGTGCACTCCGAGGCCATGTGGAGGCATCAAAGACTCGCTGGAAGGCGGTCAACGGACAGACCCAGGTGTTCTTGGGTTGACCGACTGGCAAACACCACCACCACTCAACTCACAACTCACCAATGTCACTCGCAGCCAAATAACAACTCACATTTGTCAAGAATATTGTAGCCTTCAAAAGGAAAACAATGAAGTTCACCAAGGCCCACTGAGCTATACAGCTTTTTCAGAAGCAACCTGGCCACAAATGATAGCTCAATGAAGTGGCTTATTGTGCGAAAATTCATAGCAGCCAAATACTTTGTGTGTGTGTGGAGGGGAGTGGTAGTGTAGTCCAACAATCCGAGTTCGATTTCACAAAAACTCCAAATATACAGCAGCAGGTGTCGGGGTCGAACCCGCGACTTCCTGTATACCAGGCGAGGTAGTTAACGCCTCGCCACCGCGGTGAGATCATACATAATAAGCGACGTTTTCGCAATGGGCATCCTACATTGTGCAAAATTTAGGCGAATAGACTGTTGAGGACAGCTGCTATTCTGAGCTACTTATATAAAACCGGACAGACAATGGACACGCAAACACAAAGATGCCCCCCCCCCGGCCTCACGGACAATACCGGGCACGTGGTGCTAGCGTGCATCCCTTGAATGCCAGCACGGTCCACACCCACAACACCACAACGACCACCGCCATTCCCCACTAAGTGGTGGTGATGTCACCCCCCCCCTCCCCCGACTGTGCTTGCCCAAGGCCTGGTGTACTTTAGGGCTATCAGGTGAAGCGTGGCAGGCTCTCTCTGCTGACAGGAGGTCACGGGTCAAAGACCCAGGTGCCATGGGTTTGACCGACTAAGATGGCTGGCAGACGCACCACCAACTTTCAGTGCGATCCGACCGACGACGCTCCCCTCGCTGTTGTGAAAATAAACAGCGTTCCACACACACACTGCACTCGAACACATGAACAAAGACCCCCCCCCCCCCCCCACCGTATAGCCTTAAGAGACTGTTGGGGCAAGTGCTGCAAGCGAGTAGCGGCACCTATGAAGGTCGGCACGGCACACGAGGGGGTTCGTGACCAGCACCCCCCCGGCCGCATTTGTCTCCCCGTGTTTTAACCCACGTGTGTTAACGTGTGTAGCGCAGCGATCAGCGCGCTGTGCTACGAACCTGGTGACCCGAGTTCCAATGGCAACTCACGATCAACATCAGTGGCGAATATATCAACCCGTTCTGGATCTACCCCTGTGACACCTCGGCCTCAAATGAGGACCTGGTGCATTGTGGGACGAAAAGAAAAACAACAGCACTGGGGAGACAAAGGCTGTCGAGGGCATGGCGCTGCTCGCTAGCACTTTCCCCAACAGTCTGTTGAGGCTATTCGGGGGATCTTTGTCTTGGTGTGTGTGCAGACAGTGTGAGCTCGTGTCACTGCGATGACAACTTGTGAGAGCTTCATTTCAGAATACCGCCGGCTCTTGTGAATTCCCATCGGTTTTCGCTCAGCGATGTTCAAGAGCATCAGAGCCACTGCAGGGGGGCAATGGCTGTCTCCTCCACACAGCTCCCGCATCACACACACGCACATCTCAACAATGATTATCCACGTGTGTGTAAAACCACGCATAGCTGTGCGTGTGTATGCGTGCACACGCGTGGGAGCGACGGTATATTGGGTAACGCAACTACGCAAGTCCCACCCACACAGGTTCCATGCCTGGCCCTAGTGATGCACTCCCCATTCCCAGTGGCACATGGTATCCAAACCTGGCTCGGGCCTACTGTAGGTCAACTCGGCCATAAATCTGTACCCGAATGTGGTGTGCGTCGACATGAACACCGGGAGACATCGCCAGACTTTCGGGGCACACTTGCCCCAAAAGTCTGTTTAGGCTATACGGGGGGTCTTTGTCTTTGTCTGCGAGGGGGGGTGTATTGGGTCACGCGTTGGGCAAAGAGACGCTCACCGAATGAAAGTCACGAAACTCTCTCCCGTGCAAACGAGCGCCAGGAAAACACGAGAAGGCCCCGCAGAGTCTCCCCAAGGGTCACACGGAACGAGAAGCGGAGTCAGCTGTCATGAGTAGCGGCTTCTTATTTACAACTCCACTTGAGTGTGCGCGCGTGTGTGTGTGTGTGTGTCTATAACCTGCGTCTATATCCTGTGTGTGTGTAGTCTGTGTCTATAGACTGTGCGTCGATTGTGGGGATTGCCCCGCCACACCATGAACCCGAGATAGATTTCCCGCTCACGACGATTATCTGAACCGGTCCTAGGTCGCCCCTAGGTCGACTCGGCCTCAAATGAGTACTTGGTGCAGTGTGTAAACATCGCCACTGGAAAGACAAAGGCGGCCAGGTGCGGTGCTGGCCACCCACAACCTCGCGTGCCGTGCCGGCCTTCATAGGTACTCGCCAAAAGCACTTGCCCCAACAGTCTGTTAACAAAGCAGTCTCTTGGCCAAACCACTGGGAGGGGCGGGGGGGGTACTCGTCTGACAGGTCAAAGGTCAAGAATTTGAATTAAACATTTCAGGACTCTCCCCCGCTGCGTCCGTAATTAATAATTAGACCCGGTTCCTTTGAAAGTGACGGCGGCGGCAGTTGTCATCCGTTAAACCCTGACCGCCGTGTGTGGGGTTCTAACGGAGAGGTTGTGGATATTTACGATGGGGGGGGGGGAGGGGGCATTCATCCTGCACACGGAGGATGTGCGAGCGAGCGCAGGCCAAGAACGTTTATTTTATTTAACAAAGGGAGGCACAAACTCAAAGAGACCAGGATCGAGTTTCATTTCCAAGAGTGGCATGGGCCACCAATATACGACAAAAGCAATAAGATAGAATAGGGTAACAACAGTGATTGTAATTATCAGCGAAACGTCGTACTAAAATTTAAAATGCTGTTGATCCTCTCTTCAGCACACCAGTGGGCTAAAGAAGTGAATTATTTTGTCCTTTGAAAAATGTGACACATTTTTTACTGTTTGGACGTGTCGGGTGGTGGAGGGTTACGACACATTTATAAATAACGCGATCTGACCCAAAAACCTATATTATGAATAATATTGGTCGCGAAAGCCTACGTGTTAAAAACAACAGTGAAGTCAAATAGAAATCAGAACAAAAGCAAGCCATCAGAAGAAAATCCCTGCCACGGGCTACAGTTTTTTTATAGGGTGGAGTAGTGGTACAGCGGTTAGCGCACTGCACCATGAACCTAGGGGACGCAAAGTTGTACTCCTGGCAACGACCGAGATCTTTATCATCGGGCCGGGCCAGCGACGGCGTACGATGAAACGTGTCCCAACAGCCTCCACGACCGACAACGCCTTGGTGGAGGAGGGGGGGGGGGGATGCCTTCACCATCCAGCAGCGGATTTATAAAGCGGCTGCAATTTATATTTCTTAATTACCTATCCGTACATTATATATATATCCACCTGGCAATGAGTCATAGCGCGTTTGGGCAAGCCCACTGGCGCGCGTTGGTAGACTGTGTGTCACAGGCAGCACCCCCCACCCCTTTGGGCGTAGGTCCCCTGGGTGTAGAACCTAAGAGCCCCCCACAGCCCGGATATGGCCCCGTGACCTCATTTCATATGGCCCCCCCAGTCGCACGAAAACCCCGCCACTTTGAAATGGCGCCCGCCAAAATAACCACGTTCATCTGTGTCACCGCACAAGCATCTAAGGGCCGCGGCTAATCGGGTACCCGAGGGCAATCATTTTTTGATGACCCTGCAAGTAACGGCGTTGACAGAGTCGAGTGCCGACAGTTCCAACTGGTCGCCTTTCAAGTTCTTTGGAGTACGCGGTGATCGGTGCTGGGCAGCCCGAGCGTGATCAGTGTCTCGGAGAGAGACGTTCGAAAATACTATTTGGCCTGCAACGCTGAAAATTCTCCACACCCATCGGCTTAGAGAGTAAACGGCAAGCTGCCAACCCACTGGCAAGCCCAGCACGATCCACACCGCACACAGAGACAAAGATCCCCCGTGTAGCCTTCAACAGACTGCTCGGCCAAGTGCTGTTACCGAGCACCTATGAAGGCTGGCAAGGCACACGAGGGGGGTAGGTGGATGGCCACAGCACTATGCCCGGCCGCCTTTGTCTCCCCAGTGGTCGATGTTTCCACACCGCACTAGGTACTCAATTGAGGCCGAGTCGACCTAAGGGAGGCCCATGACCGGTTTCAGATAATCGCCACTGGTGTTGCCTGCCTTGAGCGTGAAATCGAACTCAGGTCGGCGGGTTCGTAGACGCAGTGCGCCAACCACTGTGCCACCGCTCCCCTTACACACACGTACACGTACACGCACGCCCTCACGGATACTGTGACCAGGGCATGCTGACACGTGTGCGCTCGCGGGGACGAGTGCGGATTGACTTTGAGACGAAAGAGGGATGATGGACGAAAGAGGGATGATGGAGTAGAAGTCGAGTGGGGTGATGGTGGTGGAGTAGTGGGGGGGGGGTTTAGGAAGGGTGGCGGTGATGATGACGTGGGGGGTGGGGAATGGGTTGAGGGGCAGGGTGGGGAGGGGCTCAGGTGGGCTTGGTAATTGCCCGGGAGGTAGAGGTGGTGGTGGGGGGGTAGGAAGGGAAGGGGTGGGTGGAAACCGGCCAGTCAGGATGGCGGTGTCCGTCTCGCGTGGACGCGTCTCGCGTGGGCCTCATAACTCACAACCAAGGTCACGGAGACGGCACGACGAGGGGACGACTCTGGGACTGCCGGACGCAACGGCAACCACAACGCATGAACCAGACACAAAATATCCCCCCCCCCCCCCACAGCCTACGCAGGCTGTGGGGGGGGGGGGGGGCAAGTGTCGTGAGGCACGGCGCACGAAGGGAGCCGTGTGGTCATCGCCACGCCCGACCGCCTTTGTCTCC